TGACCCTCCCACCCCCCCAAACGGCCCTCCCGCGCGAAAAACCCGTGCCCGCCCCTCAGCGGAGCACCACCTCGGCGTTACCACCCCCACCACCGCTGCCGCTATCTGCCACATCGCCGTTAGAATTCCCGCCGGCAGGGTTGGTAGAGCCCTTGGAGAACTGCTTCGCGCGTTTCCGCGCCAGTTTGATACCCTCCAGCTTGCTGGCTATGGCCGCCTGTTCGGCAAGCTGCGTCGCACGGGTACGGGGTGCCGCGGCAGCACTGCCATCCGGCGAGACACCGTCCTCGCCGTAGCGGAACTGGACAAAGTTCCTCGCCGACGCGGCGGTGGTCTTCTTGGCCGCGCCCCGGCGGCTGTTGGCAGCAGCGGCGGGCTGTTCGCGATCGTTCAGCACGTCGTGGATGGCCTCTAGCTGGGCGTTGGACACCAGCGCCTGGAGATCGGCACCGGAAAAGCCCTCGGTTCTGCGGCCTAGCTCGAGCAGGTCCTCTTCTGAGTTCCAGACTTCATCGGCGACCTTGACTTTCTGGGCGAGTGCTCGGATAATGTCGAGGCGGTCTTCTAGCGTGGGGAAGTCACAAAGTAGAGACTTGTCAAGACGGCCTGGTCTGAGTAGCGCAGGGTCGATCAGGTCTGGGCGGGAGGTTGCGGCCAGGACGTACACGCCGGAGAGACCCTCGGCGCCGTCCATCTGCGTCAGAAGCTGGTTGACGACACGGTCGGTGACGCCCGTGGAATCGTGGCCACGCTTGGGGGCGATAGAATCGAACTCGTCGAAAAAGAGAACGCAGGGTTTGGCAGCCGACGCGCGCTCAAAGAGGTCACGGACGCTCTTTTCCGAGGCGCCGATGTACTTGTTGAGGATCTCGGGACCCTTGACGCTGATGAAGTTGAGGCCGCACTCTCCAGCCACAGCGCTGGCTAGGAGGGTTTTGCCGCATCCGGGATAACCGTAGAGGAGGAGGCCGGACCGGAGTCGGAGAGGACATTGCGCAAAGATGGGGGCATACTTGGTTGGGTATTGGAGTGTCTCGAGCAGGACTTGGCGTGTCTCCGTCAGCCCGCCGATAGAGGAAAAAGTGGTTGTAGAGCTTTGTAACGTGACATTGCGCAGTGAGGCTGGGGTGAACCCCTTAAGGGCGCTGTCAAAATCTGCACGGCTCAAGTGGATAGTGGTCGCGTCGGGCTTCGTTGCCTCGCCAACATTCCGGCTTAGGGCCTCGTTGCGCGCCCTGGAGATGAGCAGGATTAGATCGCCTGGCATGTAGCCGTCAGTTTGGCCGGCAATCTCGAGGAAGTCGAGGTCCTGATCGAGGATGAAGCCGCTGGGCTTGTCCCTGGGTGCTTCCCGAGTTGTACGGGTCGGGCCGTCCATCCATCCCCCTCCGTCGCCGTCTGTGGCACTACCATCCGCGGTCGTCGGACGGCTTCCGTGCTCATCCACCGGTTCCGCTTCCTCTGGGGAAACAGAGCCCTGCTTAGTGAGAGCCTCCATGACACGTCGCCTGGTTTCCTTATCAGGGGCGCTCAAGTCAACAATCTCACGGACAATGTGGCCGCCCACGAGCACATTGTGAAGTGAGTCCTTGCCCTGGCAGGTGGCGAGCAAGACCACATTACTGTCTCTGCCGCAGTACTGCCTGACCATGGAGCAGATAGCCTCGCTGATCTGTCGGCTCCGGCCGTTCTCGTTCCCCACCTGTAGCTCAGTTTCGGCCGGGCAGAGGCGGTCAAGATCATCTAGGATGACGATTGCCTTTCCGCCGAGCCTGGCGCCCCAGCTGGCAGCCATAAACAGGCGGTTCAGCGTTTCCTTGATGGTGGACACCCTGCTTTCGTCGTTGACGAGCTTAGTGCAAGGGAAGTAGTTCGCATAATACAGCTGCGAAGCGCGCATTGCACGCACGACCGTTTGTGCAACGGACGTTTTGCCGGATCCCTGGCCACCCGTCAGGAGGACGGATGACATGTGCGAGAGATGTGACTTGAGCTTTTCTAGGAGTGAGTCAATGCCAACCAGAAGAGTATCGCACGAGCCTAGCTCGTCAGCCTCAAACTCTGTGAGCCACGAAGGAATCGGAACGGGCGGCTCGACCACAAGGGGCAACTTCCAGTCGGCGCCGAGAATCCAGTTTACGGGCCTTTTCCCTTGCCCTTGTGGCGCCGGCGAAGGTTCGAACCTCACAACAGCCCCCTCCCACCCTCGGGGGCATTTTAGACCATGATTTACTCCGAGCACCTGGCCGTCTGTGAGGGGACCCAACAATAGTCCGTTTCCGCTTGGCCCGTAGATGTGCTTTACTTGGTTTGCCGCCTCCTCTTTCTCGGCCTTCGACTGGCCGCCGAACTTGAGACCCGAGGGCTGAGTGGTCGGCTTCAACGACTGGAAAGGGTATATCTTGAGTTTTTGAACCGAGTCCTGGCTGGTCCTTCGGGACGTCGGGACCGGAGCGGGCTCGAGTTTAACCACACCACCGACCATACCTTGGCATCCAAGCGCAGCACACAGAGATGACGAGAGCGCAGATGCTTGGCCATCAGGAGGGTCATCCCATGGCAGAAGGGCGGCGACGATCTTGTTGGACGCTTTCGCTGCGGGATCCGCTTCCTGTGGTTGATTTGCCGAATCAAGTGGCTGCTGAAGGCCGGCGGGCCTCACAACGCTGACCGACACCCACTTCACCCCCTTCAAATCTCCCGCGGAGAGTAGGTCACGGTCAATCCAGACACTGAGATCCTCGACCGGGGGCTCGCCGTCGAACCAATCCTGGCAGTTGTTACGGTCAATACCACGAAAGAACAAGACTGGCTTCTTCTCCTCCCGGGCGCTCTTCCTCCTGGTTGTGGTTGTTGAGCTCTTGCCACTCCTCCGAGACGCGCTGCCCACGCTCTTGTCGTCCTTGCTACTCCGCTGCTTTTGCCTCGTCTTGGGCGCTACAATGACCTCGGCGTCCGGAGCGATCTTGGCGAAGGGAGCATTGGCGGGAAGAGCAGGCTCTATCGACAGGACTTTGATGTTCGCGGTAGATGTGGGTGACAGATGGAGCGTTAGGGGGTGCATGTAGCGGGCGGGAGCGCGTGACTCTATGGCATGCACGGGGTTGGGGACGGCGCGGATCTGGAACAGTAGGTTGTCCTCCAAGAAAGTCCCGTGTAGCTCGATCATCTCCCAATCCTCAGGCGTCAGGGGTTCGATGTTGACGGTGTGCACCAGGGGCGGGTCGAAATGCACTGTTATCGTTACCCTCTGGCCTTCGGTCAATCCCAAAGTTGCGCCGAGTGTGGTATCCAGCTCAATGAACTCCTGATCGCGTCCGTCGCGAGATCCGCCGATGCTGCCCCCCCCAACCACTGGGGCAGCCCTCCGCAGTTTGCTCGGCATACCGGTCCATCCAAGGTACATGTGCTTCATCGATGGAGCGTTCGGGTCAGAGTCGCCCCCAGTGGGAGTAGAACGGGCGCGGTAGCGAAGTTCAACGACGACATTTTGGGCAGGCTAAACAGGGCAATTACACGTCAATTGCATTCCCCATGTTGATTAGAACATGGCTCTTACTTTGTTGATATTGGAGAGAACCGTGGCTATCGACGGCGGCAGGTTGACCAAGCAGTTCTGCAAATGCACCAAGGAGAGAGTCGCCGACGACGGCTGCATTGGCGCCATTGCAGCTCAGGGGGGACCCGAGACCGGGTGCGTTGGTCGGGTATGGGATATGTTAGGTAGTTGCGCGATCTCGATTGGTGGTTGTATTCGCCTTGTCGCATGCAGCGAATCAAAATAAAAGAAGGGATGGATGTTGATCAATACAACATTTCATCCCACTTTCACTTCGGCAGCGCGCGCATATGGCTTCGGGAGCGGCAGCTTTGAACGGGGCAGCTCCCCGGCAATCTGCATGTGCCGAGGCAAGGGGACCAAGATCGGATGTGCAGGGCCATGCCAGTCCCCCGCGACGTGCCAAGAGATATGACCCCAACTGGCCACACCTGCCATTGCCAGCTGCAGTCCTGGGGCAGCATGTTAAATCACCCCTAAGCTAAAGACGCGCGAAAAAGCGCGTTGGGCATTCCTTAGACGCGTCCCCCTGTCACAGCTCGCTTGTCCCAACCCCAGCCTCCCGAGCCCAAGCGCCTGCGTGTGTTTTCTTATCGCAATCCCGCCCGAAGCCCCGGTTCGTCGCACAACCTGCCCACCTCCGTCGTCAACACCACTAAGCAAGCAATCACCAACGCCGTGCGGAGAAGAGGTTCAAATTACAGCCGCAATCATGGCGCTCCTTCAGATGAAGGCGCCTGTTGACTACGAGGTGCAGTTGAGTGAGTAGCAACAAAACAACAAAGAATCCTTCAATCTGTAATTTGAAGACTGTTGCTTACGGTGGTGTAGCCGCGTTCGAGCACTTCCTGTCCGACTTCAAGACCTCTCCGCAAGAGACCATCACCCATGCCTTGGGCAATATTACCATCGATGAGGATGATCTCAGTGACGAGTACGACTTTATGGACGAGGATGACAATGCTCAGCAGCAACGTCGCCGCGAGAAGCCCCAGAAACAAGTACCCCGACACAAGTACAAGGAAATGCTTCAGGATCTGGCCGACAGGAACATCAGTGAGGTAGTGGTCGACCTGGATGACCTCGCCTCGTACGAGAAGGATCTGAACGAGGGGCTCAAGCTTGTGGAGTGGGTCGAGCAAAATACCCGACACTATGTTGAGCTCCTCTCAAGGGCCGTCGACAAGCTGATGCCCCAACCGAACGAAAATGTCACCTTCAAGGACGACGTGCTCGACGTCCTTATGACAAACCGGACACAGCGCAACCAGATGCTGGAGGGTATTGCCGACAGGGAATCAGACCCAACCATCCTCAACGACCAGTACCCGTCGCAGCTCACCCGGCGATACACCCTCGTCTTCAAGCCGAGGACGTCGACTCCCGACAACCCGGTCAAGGCGCTATCGGTCCGCCAGGTCCGCGGCGATCACCTAGGCCGTCTCATCACCATTCGCGGTATCGCAACAAGGGTATCCGACGTCAAGCCCATCGTCCAAGTCAGCGCCTACACTTGTGACCGCTGCGGCTGTGAAATCTTCCAGCCTGTCACCGACAAGCAGTACGGCCCCCTCACGCTCTGCCCGTCCAAAGACTGCCAGGAGAACCAGGCCAAGGGGCAGCTGTACCCGTCGTCGAGGGCATCCAAGTTCTTGCCTTTCCAGGAGGTCAAGATTCAGGAGTTGGCAGAGCAGGTACCCATTGGTCAAATTCCCAGGACCCTGACTGTCCTGTGCTATGGTAGCTTGGTCAGGCAGATCAGCCCCGGTGATGTAGTCGACGTTGGCGGCATCTTCCTCCCCACCCCTTACACCGGCTTCCAGGCGATGCGTGCTGGCCTGTTGACCGACACCTACATCGAAGCGCACCACGTTGTCCAGCATAAGAAGGCATACGAGGATATGGAGATCGACCCCATGATGGCGCGGAGGATTGCCAAGTTTACGCAGTCAGGGAACCAGTACGAGTACCTCGCCAAGTCGATTGCCCCCGAAATTTTCGGTCACCTAGACGTCAAGAAGGCGCTCCTACTACTGCTTGTCGGTGGTGTCACCAAGGAAGTCGGTGACGGCATGCGTATCCGTGGCGACATCAACATCTGCCTGATGGGCGACCCCGGTGTGGCCAAATCCCAGCTGCTTAAGTACATCTCCAAGGTCGCCCCGCGCGGTGTGTACACTTCGGGTCGCGGCAGCAGTGGCGTGGGTCTGACCGCCGCCGTAATGCGCGACCCAGTCACGGACGAGATGGTGCTCGAAGGCGGAGCACTGGTCCTAGCCGACAATGGAATCTGCTGTATCGATGAGTTTGACAAGATGGACGACAACGACCGTACTGCCATCCACGAAGTCATGGAACAACAGACCATCTCTATCTCCAAAGCCGGCATCAGCACCTCCCTCAACGCGCGCACCTCCATCCTAGCCGCAGCTAACCCGCTCTACGGGCGCTACAACACGCGCCTGTCCGCCGTGGAGAACATCAACCTCCCCGCGGCGCTCCTCTCCCGTTTCGACGTCATGTTCCTCCTCCTCGACACACCCACCCGGGAAACCGACGCGCAGCTAGCCAAGCACGTCGCGCACGTGCACATGCACAGCCGGCACCCCGATCTGGGCACCGCCGACGGCGTGGTGTTCTCGCCGCAGGAAGTCCGGGCTTACGTCGCGCAGGCGCGCACGTACCGGCCGGTAGTGCCGCAGGCTGTGTCCGAGTACATGGTCAAGACGTACGTGCATCTGCGCGGCAGCCAGCGGCGGGCCGAGAAGCGCGCGCAGGCCAACAACTTCGGCAACACCACGCCCCGTACCCTGCTCGGCGTGGTGCGCCTCGCCCAAGCCCTCGCCCGGCTCGCCTTCCGCAACGTCGTCACCCAGGACGACGTCGACGAGGCCCTGCGCCTGATCGAGGCCTCCAAGGAGAGCCTGGCCGGCGAGGACCAGTCGCGCGGCCGCCGCGGCATGAACGCCAGCAGCAAGATCTACAACCTGGTCAAGGGGCTGGCGGATGGCGGCGCGTGCCGGCCGGATGATGTGGACGAGGACGAGGACGAGGAAGGCTATGGCGTCGAGATGAGCCTGCGCAAGGTCAAGGAGCGCGTCATTGCCAAGGGCTTCACCGAGAACCAGTGGCTGGCCGCGTTGGAGGAGTATACCGACTTGGATGTGAGTTTTGCCAACCGCCCTGCTTATATTAACCTCTTGAGAAGAAGAATGATTGGACTGACTGGTGGATTGTGCAGGTCTGGCAAACGGCTAGCAACGGCACGAGGCTCGTGTTTGTTACGTCTGGTAATGCTGAGCGGGAGGGAAGCCAGGAGTTGTGAGCGTGTGGTTTGGGGTAGTCGTAGATCTGGCTTGGGTTCCAGCCGTTGTTGCATTTCCGTGCTTTTTTTTGGGTGTGTTGTGTGTGTCCACTCGGCGTTGCCAGAGGGTGTTAGGTGGTTATGGAATTGAATGACTGTATGTGTGAGAACCGGGAAGGGGTCCGTTTCCCGGCTCATGTAGCAGCTTCGGTACGAAGTCCTGCTAGTCGGACAATGAAATGAGTGAAGTCGAGCCGACGTTATGTGTGCACCGTGTTGTAACCCTCGTCCAGGACCGAAAATGCGATCCTACTACAAGTACAGTCTCCCATTTCTACACAGCGCGTCTATCTACACACCATTTCATAGGATTACAAACCTGCCACCACCCACCCATACAATCATTCAAATCCGCATCGTCCGCAGCGCGGCGCGCTCCATCTCGCCGAGCACGCCGCTGCCGGCGAGGGTCCACTTCTCGGTGACGGCCTTCTCGTCGACGGTGGCGCGCAGCATGCCGCTGGCGGCCCAGTACTCCATGAGGGCGCGGGCCTCGCGCTTGTCGACGCCGGCGACGCGCAGCACGCGGACCGAGCGCAGGACGGCCTCGACGCGGTCGTCGTAGCCGCGGAAGAAGGGGTCCTTCTGGGGCACCTCGGCGCCCGCCTTCGCCTCGGCCTCGCGCTGCGCCAGCGCCAGCTCCATGCTGGGCGCCCGCGGCGCGTTGCTGCGGCTGGTGGCGGCCAGCACCGCGCCCCCCGCGGGGAACTGCACGCCCCCGCCCAGCGCGTCCGTGAAGAGCCGCATGAGGGCCAGGTCGTGCGAGTGGATGCGCTCGAAGGACGGCGAGCGGTAGTCGGATATCTTCATGGCGTGGGAGAGCCCGTCGAGGCTGAGGAGGATGGGCGGCCGGTTGGCCTTTTGTGCCGTGAGCTCGTTCCAGAGGGCTTGGAAGACGGGCCAGGCGCCGTCGGCCTCCTTGGCGACGTTGGCGAGGGCCAGGAGTGGGGTGTTGGGGGGCATGTTTTGCGGCAGTTCCGGGTGGGCTTGGATGGTGTACGTCCTCGAGAGAACTTGCTCGTTGGCGCGCTTGATGGCCTGGATCAGCTTGAGCACGTAGACGGGCTGCATGTACTGAACGGGGTCGGTGCCCGGAATGGGAGCGTATTCGGTGCCGGCGGTGGTAAGTTCGTGGGCTGGGAGGGGTTAGCATACATGGTGTTTGGTGGGTGGGTGGGTTTGGCTCAAGACATACCCTCTGGGAGGTGGATGACAATCCAGTTGTTGAGGTGGGCGTATGCCATGGCCTGCAGCAACATCATGCTCTTGCCAACCACCTTATCACCGGTCACGACGAGACGCAGGGTCTTTTTGTTCTCGGCTGAGTTTTGCATTTGATTCGTCAAGTCGACCGTTTCCTTGCGCACCAACACGGAGGGTTTCCTGAACATGCCCCAACACTGTGTCGTCTTGAAGGCCTCGTCGGCTCGCAGCTGGTCCTGCACCTCTGCGGGGAGGGACAAAACCCTGGCGATGTTCTCGGCTGCGGTCATATCCGCCGGGCCCAGGTCGGCCAACCATGGCACGGGGATGGCGTTGTCGTTGCTGAGGGTGATGCGCTTGCGGTAGGCCTTGCGCTCGCCGGGCAGCGGGACCCTGCCCCTCTCGGCGGTCCTATCCTTCTTGAACTTGCCGAGCTGTAGCTTCTTTCCCGAACGAGAGTGCGCTTTCGCATTGGGGGCTGGCTGGAAAGCCTTTCTGGGGGCAGCATTTGAGGCTGCGGTGGTCGAGAAAGATGCGGCCAGGGTGGTTCTGGTGATGGGAGGAACAGCCCGGGACATGGGCATTGATACCGGAATCCCCGCCGAAGGCCGGACGAGACAGCGCAGGCAATTGGGGGTCGACATGGTGTCGTCGATGTGTGTTTGGTTGTCTCTTTCGGCGGGGTCACTTCTATTGCATCGTGGGGCGTCCAAATCGCCAATGGCTGCCGGCCCGGAGCTGCTCAAAATTCGAGATAATCCATCACCAAACAAAATCGGACCCAGCGTGTGAAGTCGGAGCACGGACCTTGCCAAGCCGAGACGCCCGCTGCTGTGGCTTCCCTCCTTCCATCCCACCACCCACATGTCAACAATAACCCCTGAAAGGTATCAACATCACAGCATGGCAACTACGGCCGGAGTGATTTTCAGCTGGTTGATATTTAGCTAGACGGTTTAGACACCGTTTCAGCTTCAATTGGAACGAATTGGTAGTATACCATCATGGTTTTAGAAGCATGATGCATCCCAAGTCTTCCCGTTATTGAGGATGGGCATTGTGAAGAGTGATGATGAAATCTTTTTTGATGTCACTAGGTACTAACTATGCCTCACTCTTATGCTTCTGGTTATTATTGACGAGTCCAGGGGGTATAAACATGCAGACATACATCTTTGAACAAGACGGGCGAGATGAGACCCCTGCCACTGCCAATGCCAATATGTGGGGTCGCCATTCTACCGGCCTTCACCGCCTAAATTTCAAGAATGTTCATCGCATGGAACCAAACCTCTGCGCCTGCCTCCAATTGCGCAGAGAAAAGAAACACCATCACCTACCCACTCACCAAACCAAACAACCAATTCCCGCAAAACAAACCACAACCATGGCCGCCACCACAACCCAAAAACCCGCCAAACTCCCCGTCACCGTCGACAAGCCGACCCCCTACACCTTCGACCTCGGCCTCCTCCTCGCCAACGACCCCAACCCCGTCGCCATCCCCCCCTCCACCCTAACCGACCGCTCCGCCCTCGAAACCCACCTCGCCAGCGTCGCCCGCGACGGCGCCCAAGTCCTCATCAACCAGCTCCTGACCACCTGCGCAATCAGCTCGACCCCCGCCGGCGTGCTCCTGACCCTCCCACCCCCCCAAACGGCCCTCCCGCGCGAAAAACCCGTGCCCGCCCCCAAGGCGGAAACCAAATGGTCGGCCTTCGCCAAGCGGCGCGGGATCAAGCCCAAGACGCGGGAGCAGCGGCGCAACCAGCAGTACAACGAGGAGACGGGCGAGTTTGAGCGCCGGTGGGGGTACAAGGGGGCCAACAAGGCCGGGCAGGACGACGCGATCATCGAGGTGAGCGCGGCCGACGAGGCGCGGCGCAAGGAGGGGACGAGCGTGCGCGGCGACAAGCGCAGGGAGATCCGCGAGCGGGTGAAGCGAAATGAGAGGCGGATGAGAAAGAACCAGCGGAATGCCGAGGGGAGGAAGTAGGCTTGTCTTGTTCTTCTTTTTTTTTCCTCGCCTTTTTCGTTGTTGGATGAAGGCGGTGGCGGATGATTGCATTCGAGGCGTTAAAGTATAGGCTTGTGTGTTTGTTTGTTGGCTTTACGGCGTTAGGGAGGAGAAAAGGCTAGGGCAGCTCTCGAAAATCAAGAGGGGTTTCAGCATCACATGTGGGTTGTCCACCTTAACTGGCATTCTATATGCGCCTCAAGGGGCTCGCAGCTCTTGCGGAAAATCAACTCGTCACCGGGACGATCCATCCTATCTTCATTACGGCCGGCGCCGGCCCAAACCTTCTTAGAAATCGTACAACGGGTCCCCATCTTCCAAAAAGAAAAACAAAAAGGAAAGGAAAGGACCAGACTCCCTCCCAATGGCATGCCTTACAATGACTCGGCAGTCCCCAGGAAAAAACAGGCAACCCCAAGGATATGGACGCTTCAGATAGATTCTGAAAATCCGAGAGACCATCACCATCCTCCACTGCCCCTCCTCGGACCACCTCTCACGGGCTACAAACCACCCCCGTGCCACTTAAACCCAGGCCTTGGTATCCTCATTACTGTGCGCGGCCCACCACAACGGTATCAAGAATGAAACAAAAGAAACAAAATTTTCCGAAATCGACGTGAAAGAGGGATTAGGCCGACTGTCTGCGTACGGACGGTGCCGGCCCGAAAGTGCTTAGAAAACGAAAAAGGGGAAGGGGTATTGAAACCGAAAAACACGAAGGGCTGGATGGGGAAAGATTCTGGCCCAATGGACGACGCTCAATGAATCGGCAGGCCGTGGTGGAAAGAAAAGGTAACGCCAACGGCGACGCCATGACCGGACTAACCTTGTGTGTTCCATGGGTCGTGTGCAAGTGGGATGCGACTTGCAGTATATTCTATTGGTGGGGTGGTAAGGGGCGAGACAGACACAAAGGCAAAGTTGTCGTCAGCGTCAGGTCGTTGACCAAGTGCTGCTGATGAATGATGTTGCTTCGGGAGCCAAAACAGAAGCGCTCGCTATTCCAATGGTATGACGACTATTAAGAAAACCCTCGCAGCACGGCAACCTGCTCAAAAATTGAGCGGCGATAGCGGCTTAATAGGCGAGAGGGGCCGCATGTCGCCCGACTTTCTCGGCGGCGTCTCACGCTCGCTGCTGACCGTAAGTGTCGTCGATATTGTTGAACTCGTTTCAGTACTCTCCGTCTCGGCCACCGTCTTCTGCCTTGGCCGCCCCTTCTGTTCGGTTGCGCTGCGGTTGGGACTCTTTCCGCTATCCGACGATGAAACGGTGCGAACCTCATGCCCTTCCTCCTCGCCGCCGCCACCTCCATTTCTATTTTTCACACCACCAGGTGGCGGCGAGTCAAAACGTGCGTACTCCTCTTCGATGTACTTGGCCTCGTCCTTGCATCCCTTCCAGCAATCGCGCCAGTCACAAACCAGGAACTTGAAGCAGAAGGCGTCGATCTTCATACACGGCTGGAAGCAGATGCATAGGTTCCGGAAGTCCATCTTGTTCTTCTCCGAGTGTGCGAGGAGGAGACTGAGATGACAAGTAATGGCGAAGAGGAGGTAGTAGTTAAAAGGCGGGAGCTTCGAGAGTTCTTCGACGAGCAGCGGTGGTACACTCTCCGCCCCGGCGCACTCCTTTGCAATCCTGTCTTGGGCCTCTTTGGGGAACAGCTCGTCGGGGAGCTCCCGCAGCCAGGCCTTCAGCATGGATCCGACGATGTTGATGTCGTAGAGGTCTGGCTCTTCAAAGAGGTCCACATCTAAGTCTGTGAATAAGTTAGTAAATGCTAATACGGGAACCTTCCTCGGGAGCTCGCCAACATACCCTCGTCGAATTTCCGTTGCCACTTTTTGATCTGCGGCCCGCTGCCCGGGACCCGGTATAGACCCTCGACCTCACTGCCCTTATAGTTCAGGTAGTCGATCGCTCTCCACGGGAACGCGGGCATCCAAAACTCGGTCTTGTCCCGAGAGTCTTCCAGTCTCTTGGATATCCTGGTGAGCCGCGTTTGTTCAACAAGAGGCAGGTTAATGACCCTGAGAACATAGTGCTCGTCGTCCACCGTCGGCTCCTTGAGCACTGGCAACTCATGTCTTGAACCGAAGAAGCGGTTGCTGAGCATGCCCGCCGCCTTGCTGTGTTTGAGGTGGCTAAAGAAGGCTCCTCCGGGTGTCTGGGTATACGTAGAGGCATTATCCCTCTGCTGGGCGTCTTGGCCTCTTCCTCTCCCGCCGACGTCCCTGTTCTGTGACCGCTCAGCCGAATGGTTCCTGACGGCCGACATCATCTCCCGAAACGACCGGTCGCGTGCTTGAAGCGGGGCCGTCCTCGGAGCTGTTGACGAAGCGTAAGGTCTTTCGGGCTCGGCTGCCTTGGCCGGCGCCAGCGCCAGTGGTGGAACGTGATCCTTAGGGCTCGGGCTGTCTTTGAAGTCCTTGTCCTTGGTGGACCTGGTGCGGCTTAGTAGGTTGAAGGGCTTGGGCTTCGACCGCTTCGACGAGGTCACTGAATTACCCGGGCTCTCGTAGTCTACCGTCGAGGCTAGCGATATTTCGGATCGAGAAGGTAGTGGTGTGTTCGACTTCTGGACCGAGGGGTCCTGATGGGGCGAGTCTATGATGTAGCACGCTGGTCAGCGTGACTTGAAACAAGAGTTCGGCCCCAGGTGGAGAGGCCCGTTTTAATGCGGGATCGACAGGGTAGGGGAAGTCCAGACGACCATGAAAAGATGGGACACAGAATGTTTGCGTACCTGAATGCTTGGTGCTTTGTTTCGACAGCGCCGGCCTGTCCGAGTCCCTCGACATGACTTCGGCGCGGGAATTGGAGTGTTGGTGCACAATGGGACGATCCGACTTCGCCCCCTTCCCAAAGTTGAAAAAGAAGCCCGATTTGGATGTCTTGTCCTCACCGCGCCGCTGGTGTCTGTGGCCCAGCTGCTGTTGTTGGTCCGCAGCTTGATCTCTTGGCGAGGGCTGCGGCGGGTCACGGGCGTCGTCCGGATTCCTTTGCCGCGGCGGCCTCTGCTCCTCTTGGTGTTCTAGCGACTGTCGGGGCTGGTGCAAGACATCGGCAAGCGGTTGGGGCTCTCCAATGCTAGCAATTTCCACCTTGTTCTGGCCGTAGCGGAAGGGAGAGCGTGGGGATCGGGGCGACGTAGGGTCGGACGGTAGTCGCGCAGAACGGGGGACGGTTTCACCAAGACGAGGAGACTTGTCGCTGGGCCGCGTGGTCTCCGCCAGCGAGAGCGGCTGCGGTGCAGCTTTACGGCCCATTCCAATGGGCGCGAAATGCCAGGGGCTCAGGCGGGCCACCTGGCTAGAGACGGGTCTGGGTGTAGCAGGGAGGGTTCCTGATTTGCGCCGTGCACGCTCTGCCGCAACCAAGGACCAACAGCCCTGCAGCAACAGCTATTGCCGGGCGCGCAGCCGTGACACAGTGTCGGGGCTTACGGGGTCGGGTAAGGTTGGCAGGTAAGAAATGGAAATAGGCGGATTGCCGTCTGCGTCAAATGAGCGATCTCTCCGAACTTCAAAATGAGGCACGGACGGGTGTTGGAGGGGTTCTGATGCAAGGTAGGAGCCGCAGAACAGATGGAAGGGGGCAAGTCTCAAGGTGGCTCTGGCTCTCTTGGTGGGCCGTTCTTCGAATGACTGCGCCAGATCGACCACCAAACCGGCATGGGCAAGGAGGCACACACCGCTGCCCTGTCTCCCTGTCTTGCCTTCCACAATCCGGACGCTAGGCTGTCAGGGATCCCCAGACCCCGCCGAGCCCGTCTGCTGTCAGAATGCCCACTTTCAGCTCCCTCTCACCATTTGATTCGCAGCCAAAGCCGCAGCCCTGGTCCCTCTCCCTTGTCAATCGACTGAATTTCCGACAAGATCTGAAAAGACGTTGGACGGATGACGACGTCCCGTCAACGAGTCTCTGGGTCGTTCCTTGAGGATGATCCTATACTTGTAAACCGATCGAAACGAGATTTATGAAGCTGGGCAAGATTTAGTCTCTTGGGGCCAATTCCCAGATTAGAATCTGCACGGCTTTTAGGCGGCTGGTGTCATGGCCACCCGGCCTCGAATACCCGAACGTGTCTTCTGAAACGGAACTCTCAAAGTCGTGGGCAGCTATCGTGTGACAACCCCGTTAGTGGCGGCGTTCCCCGGAGAGTCGAGACAGTCTAGGCTCGACCGACACAGTCGGCGCTATGTTATCTCGCACAAAGCAAGGGAGACGTTGCGACAACAACGATCGACCGCGGACGATCGCAGTGACAAGCGCCCAGGAATGCGGAAGGCGCCAGAAGGAGTTGCTGTCGGTTATATGGGTAGCAATCGATTGAAAATAGCAAAGGAATAACAGGTAACCCTTCGCGTGATCAATCCTCCCCGCATGTCTTGGAAGAAGCGAGATTCAAAGCGCAAACGGAAAGCAACCCCAGTTAGCAACACAAGGAAAAATAGGTGGCGCCCTGGATAACAATGACTGCGCGGCGGGAACTGCGGCGGGAGCTTGGCCCTCATTGGCAACGGAACGCTAGAAGCGAGGGGTCAGCAAGCCAACCTCACGATCACCTACCCACCCCGCCTTTGTTCTCCCGAGATCATACCTATTTACAACCTAAGGTCTGAGGTGGACGGGAACTCTTCTCGGACCCAACTAAAAGGCAACACCAAAAACAGAAGCAATGAGTCAGCTCCCGTTTGCGCTGCAATCCTTCGCACAAACACGAGACCCCTTTCTCGAGCAATCAAAGCCATTGGGAAATTGAATCACAAAGCCAGCTAACTGTCTGTGTGTTGTGTTTGGGCCAGCTTCTCGCCTCGCACGCCGCCCGCATGCAGCCTTCAATTATTAACCGATCGAGGCCTCGATGGCCCGCTGTGGCTCACAGGCTTGTCGGAAGGTGGCGGCCCAGATGGAAAGCAGGGGATTCAAACGCTAATCCTACTTTAGTTAGGCCAGGAACACGACAGCTCTGAAACTCCCGCTGGGGCTGTGTCTTGGCCAGGCCCGTCGGTTTCGCCATTGGAAGAGACAGGAGCAGTGACGATGTCGACAATGGCCTTGAACCCTCCTCACTTTCACTCAAGGTTCAAAATAATGACCGGAAGGAAACTTCCGTCGAATTTCCATCTTATATAAGAAACCCAGCCCGGCACTCCACCCTGGTAGCGGTAACTCGTCTCGTTTCAGGAGAGAGAGATGACAGTCGAATTGGCGTAGCCATCACATTGCATCTACGTTCATACCAGTCTCCCTTTGGCCAAAAAAAGCCGAACTCGAGAGGGGAGCAAGGATCAAGAAAGGAAAAAGAAGTAAAAGAGAAACGAAGAAAAAAAAGAGACCAAGAAAACCGAGCAAAATACATTGAATAAAAGAAACCGAGTCAAATAAAAAGTACACTTTGGGCTTTCGGATGGCTTTCTTTTGGTTCTCTTCGTCCAAGGTTTCGGCAGCACCTCAACTTGGAGTTCGGCTTCTTTTTTTGGCCAGAGAGTGACAGTACACTCGACAAGAAGCCTCGTCAGCTCGTCCTGCCCCCTCCCCCCAGCCGCCCATTCGCGAGAACCCGGCTTTGGTTCGGGCGGCAACGAAGCCCAGGCGCCAATCCAAAGGGTGGAATTCCAGCAGGGCGCCAATGGTGATCGGGTAGCAGTGGGAATTCGGAACGAGCCGACTCCCACCAAGGCGGGAGTGCAGCCAAGACCGAAAATTCATGGATTTCTCTTTAACCGCTTAGCTAACCCTCTAAACCTTAACACATCGTATCGACAGGTCTTTCTAGGAGGCATATCCGACTTGAGCATGCCTCCTGAGCATGACGAAAGTCGTGTGTTACGTAAGGTAGCCAAGCATCCAAGTGCTCGCCGGCCGCCTGGTCTTGGCGGCCCCACGATCTTCCCCGCAATTTCTCCAAGAGTTCGGTGAAATCACAACCGCCGCAACTTCACAACATGTCGCAAACCTTAAATCAGCTCCCGGAGGAACCCCAGCTGGCCGCGCCGGCTCACGTCAAATACATCCAAAGTTTGGATTCGAGGAAAGATGAATATGACTACTGGCTGACTGAGCATCTCCGACTCAACGGGTTGTATTGGGGACTGACAGCCTTGCACCTCCTTGGTCAACCCGACGCCCTCCCACGCGCTGAGACCATCGATTTTGTGCTCTCATGTCAGCACGAGAATGGCGGCTTTGGCGCCGCGCCCGGTCATGATGCCCACATGCTCTCTACCGTCAGCGCGGTGCAGATCCTTGCCACAGTCGACGCCTTTGACGAGCTCGAAACGCGAGGGAAGGGCAAGGCACAGGTGGGGCAGTGTGCGTCTCCCGGCATGGTGTGTTGGGAGTAGGGACCTGCATACTGACGGGATTTTTTCAGATATCGCCAATCTCCAGAACCGTGAGACGGGTACATTCGCCGGCGACGAGTGGGGGGAGGAAGACACCCGGTTCCTCTACGGCGCTTTCAATGCGCTGTCGCTCCTCGGCCTTCTCAACCTCGTCGATGTTGAAAAGGCAGTCAACCATATCGCGGCATGTGCCAATTTTGACGGTGGATATGGCGTGAGCCCAGGTGCCGAGTCCCATTCGGGACAGATATTTACATGCGTCGCCGCCTTGACGATCGCCGGCAGACAGGACCTCGTGGACAAGGAGCGGCTTGGTCGGTGGCTGAGCGAAAGGCAGATTGCCGGCGGCGGCCTCAACGGCCGACCGGAGAAAAAAGAGGATGTCTGCTACAGCTGGTGGGTCCTAAGCAGCTTGGAAATGATTGGCAAGACACACTGGATCGATAAGGACCAGCTCGTCGCCTTTATCCTACGCTGCCAGGACCCCGAGCGAGGCGGCATTGCAGACAGACCCGGTGACATGGTCGATGTGTGGCACACTGTTTTCGGCCTTGCGGGGCTGAGCTTGCTCCAATATCCCGGTCTACAGCCCGTCGACGAGGTTTACTGCATGCCTAAGTCAACGACTAGGCGGGTGTTGGGCTGACGACTAGCAATTTAAACATTTTACCCCCTTGTATCCATCTTTTCTCGTCCGTCTCTTGCCGTCTATAACCTACCAACAGTACTCTAATCGTCGGGCAGGGAACAAGCCAAGAGAACATCAACTGTCACTATTTTCTCACCATTCCTGGCTATCGTATGCTTACTGGCATGGAATCGGCATGATACCCATATTTGTCAGTGGAACAAAAAGACTCCGCCCTCATTTCGGACAATCGTACCAATTCAAAAGTCAGATGGACCATTTTCTGCCGAACTGCTTGGGAAGAATGGGGAATGAAGTTTCATAATTTCTTTTTGGTGCCCCATGGCACTTGAATCACAACCCTGAAATCTGCACTGCCCATACTGACCAGCAAATTGGATTAAATGCCCCCCGTATAAGCCGGCGCTTTCCCTTGCATACTATTCCCAACATCTTATTACAAGGAGCTTTTCACAACTGAGCTGTAGTGCTCTGGCTTGCTTCACTGTACCGCATTATTTATTTCACACAGAACTGTTTTATAACAATCATGGTAGATACTGCTTGCACTCACACATGGTAGGTTATTCCCATTTGCGTACCCCTTGATTAACTCCTGTACATACCAGACATGGTTCTCCATCCTCTTGATAAGCTGATTTGCACTCGACTGTGATCATCCCAAATCCAACACTCATGCCTAACACTCTCTCCTGGCCAACTTACCAATTACTTGCCAGTCACCCCGGACCCTTAAAAGTGTTCAAGCAGATTCTTCACCATCACATGCCAAACTATGACATCCCAAACTTACATTTAGGAATATCTCTTAGATAGGTAGTTTATGACAATGTCCTTGGTTAAGCTTTTTGAGATCAAGCATCAAAATTATATAGGAAGTGCCTTTGCTTCTTCTTAGGGTACTGATCTAAGCAAGGTGGTAGAATTCCTCTACTTTACCATTCTCGGCACTTTATGGGTCATTGCCACGTCCCCGGCCCTCATTAAGTCAGAGAAACATCGATTCAAAAAACTTCCATCACAGCAACAGTCGCTATCTCATCTTCGTTCCCAGCTCTTAGCCCTTCCACATCCCACACCACTTTCAGGCCTTCATTCTCTAACATATTCTCAAACTCATCAGTTCACATTATCATGCTTGTAATGTATATATTGGGGTTATTCGGGTCTCGACTGCGCTGGGGTTTGAGCTACACCCTCGAGCACCCCTTTGCACCACCCAGTGACTTTTTCGATCTTTAGGGCTGCAACAAGGTAACTTCTCTCACGGTTGCTTTGATCATCTCACCATATCGGCCACCTCACAGTTAGAGTAAGTCAACAAGAATCACATTTTCACACGTTTCTCTGTGATTCCAATAGTTCACACGGCCCTCAGCCGTTCCTTCCCTCTCGATTTTTATTCCACTATTCTCAGGCACCAACCTTTCAAAATACACCCAGTCTGCCCACCTGCCGTTCGTTCCTTCCACCACATCCCTCAAAGTGACGTTCACGGCAATTACAAGTGCTGTGGTCGCTTCCAATTTTTGCCCAGTCACGGGCCATCCTTCTTTCCTCTGACACGTCTTCTCTGGCCTAGGTTTTCTCCCAGGTTTCTGTTTGAGCTGCGACTGCATTACCATCAGTCCTCCCTCAATTGGCACCCAGGGTTCAGATCTTGGGGCCGATACAGAATTCTGCCAGTCTCGCGATATTTGTTGCATTTCAGATCACACCAATTCATCGTCCTGCTAGGCTCACACGTTTGACGAGTCGTTGTTAGACACCCATCCCATCCACCGCTCCTTACTTACATCCCACAACCACCCATCGCATTCCCATATCTCCCATGTTGGAATTCTAGGTCTCTCCTGCCTCCAAGACTGACATCACCTTGGGATCTTAGCCTGGTTCTCCACTAGACTCCGTCCCGTCATCTTCAATTATCCTGCGGTTGGCCCTGCCAACATAGCCGCCCCCATCTGTGAGTTACACCAGACCAGGCCTGGCCGCTAATACCTGCATTGACAGCACTGGATGAATGCTGACTTTTAAAGATCATGGCTGCGGTTGCACCCATGGACCTGGTTGTGAGAAGCGACCCTAACTCCATCCCTCTTCGGTGCTCCCTCTGCCCCAAAAAGCCCAGTTTTTCGGATCTCTCTCATCTTCTCACCCACATCTCATCAAAGAGCCACCTCGCCCACCGCTTCAAAGCCGAACTGAAAGCACGCGACGACCGGGTAGCCCTAGATGAGGTTCGGCAGTATGACAACTGGTGCGAGCAGTATGGAATCAACGCTCTTCTTGCGGAACGGATGGCTGCAAAGGAGCAAAAGAAAACAGGCAGAAGAGGAAGACAGTCAGTTGCAGCTGTAAGTCCAACCGCTGTACGCAATAGACCCAGGAACTGTGGGGCTCACATCGGACAATAGAGCACCAAGTCCGATGCCACGACAAACATCGACCAAGACCTAGTCAAGCCGGACCCTGACGAATATATCGACTCTCTGGCCGCCGCGGGCCACTGGGCCGCGTTACCTGGCCATTTCCAGGATGCCCATCACGGCCATTTTGACAGCCCTAGCTATCCAACACCGTTCCTGAAGCGTTCTCGGTCCGATCATTCCGTCCCCAGCACACCGGAGAACGACACGCGTGCCAAGTATTATCGGAGGTGGCCATCGGAGACTGAAACCGCGGACAGTGTCCCTGTTTCCGACCTTCCCTCGGAGAGCACCGAGTTTGACGACGAAAATGACGCCAGCAAGTTGAAGGGGGTGAGATACCCAGGCATGGGTCTATTCGACTCGGCAGACGAGATCCAGAAGAGGATGCGCAATCAACGGAAGGATGATTCTGTCTTGAAACAGATGGAGGAGACATCATCAGGGATTGTTCCCAACGAGTTTATATGGGCAGAGGACGGCGAGTTTCAGCGTGTTCGCGATATCTATGCCAGCCCTTCGATCGAGGGAAGCCCGGTGAGTGATGCCCAAACATACATAACGCCGTGCCACCTCCGGTTGAGGGCTCAGCTGATGCCTATCGCTTTCCATCCAGGACCGCAAGTTTGAGGACTGTGATGTCCCAAAGCCAAAGAGGGGCCGCCGTTCAGCTGCAACTGCAGCGTCAGGGGCGACACGCACGCGGAACTCGACCAGACTTACTCGACAGGCGGCATCCCGGAACCGGCGCACTCGGCACGATGATAATGTTGAAGTCTCCGGTTCCGTTGACAATTATGACATCTTCCGTGACCCGCCGAAAACCAGTGCCGGTAAGGGGGCACAACGCCGAGGGTACTGCAATCAACGCTAATTGTTCGCAGCACAAGTCGAGAGCTCACCCAGGGACTCTGGGTAAGTCCTGCCTTTTAGTGGTGATTTATCCCTTCTTACCGGTTGTAGCTTTGAACTTCGCCGCCGCCCCGCCCTTCAGTCCCTGAACTCGAACCTCTCGTTAGCGTCGGCAGCGCATAAGTCCGCCAAATCCGTGTCTTACGTCTCTGCTCAGGAGACCAGCACGCCCTTATTCACATCTCAGCCTCCCTCTTCCAATACCAATTATTTCCAGCAGCAGACCATGGGGGCCGGCACGTTCAACCCGCTATGCGTCCAGGGTAGAGGGGGCTATTACAACCCCTACGGCTTCCCAAGCTTCGGCAACGAGGCTAAGCCGTCAACAACCAACTTTCAAGCAATCAACGCCATGAACTTGGGCAACATGGGGTATAATGCCTTCGGCGGACCCTTTGCTCCAGACTCGGCCCACGGGGGCGTTGACCAAGACTTTGACCTGTGATTCGGAAACAGGCTCACCGCGTCTTCCTTCACAATTGAGATGCGCCATTTCTACATCTCACTGTGTGTGTAACATTACGGAAACACAAGTTGCTACATGGCTCGGGAGTGTTTGAGCCGATACGACTCAAGCGCAATTGCCTCATTTCCTGGCGAAGGGGGGACGCTTCCGGTACAATATTGGACGCAATCGGTCGTTGTTGACCGCTGCGTGGAAGGGGTGTGAGAGGCAAGGCGGCGAGGGATATGGCCCTAGGAAGCAGATCTTTTTTGATTCGTTATCCCCATCTTCTACATATTCGCATGGCGCGCAAGGACTCGGGACCACATCCTTAATTGGTCGTATTTAGCACGGGACCTGGGTCGATAACTGGCTACAGAGTTAATCACATATCTTGACTTTGCCCTAGTACCTATGTGGATTTCGCCGTGATCTTGAATGGTCCAATAAGACAGTGAAGATGGGATTCTGACACAGTACACATTCACCAGCTGCTCCAGACTTGATGACAGAGACCGTTAAGGTGGCATTCACGAGAAATAGCCCATGAATCTTGATCATAGAATTGGGGCATACCATCTGAGAATATTGCTACTCATCATGTAGTTGGCCAGACCAAGAAGTGTTAGCACACATACAAATTCCATACAGACAAACATTGCTCAGACCATCCGCCCCTCCACAACAGCTCTGCCACAAGCAACAACAGCACCCTGCCTACAACTGCTCAATACTCGACACCAAATGCTCCAGTGGATCCTCCCCGTCGTCGCCGTCACCGCCACCGCCACCGCCACCACCACCACCCCCGGCAACAACATCCTCCAGCAGCCGCACCGCCCCGCGCAGCCGTCGCGCCTTGACGCCCTCCTCCATCTCGCGCGACTTGCGCGCCGCCACGTCCAGCACCCGCCGCGGGATCCGCGCCAGCCGCGCCACGTTGAGCCCGTACGACCGGTGCGCGACCCCGTCCGCCACCTCGTACAGGAACGTGATCTCCTCGTCGGCGTCGGCGGCCGCAGCGTCAGCGTCTCCATCGGCAGCCTCGTCCCGCTGTCGCCCCGTGGCCTCGAAGCGCATATGCACGCAGCGCACGGCGCCGCCGAGGCCGTCGGCGACTCGGGCGAGGTTCTGGTAGTGGGTGATGAAGAGGGTCAGGCAGCGGGTCTCGCGGGCGACGTGGGCGAGGACGGCGTGGGCGATGGCGGCGCCGTCGTGGGTGGATGTGCCGCGGCCGAGCTCGTCGAGCACGACAAGCGAGCGCGCCGTCGCGCCGCGCAGGATCGCCGCCGTCTCCGACACCTCCACCATGAAGGTGCTCTCGCCCGCGAACAGGTTGTCGCGCGCCCCCATGCGCGTGTAGATGGCGTCGGTCAGCGTCAGCGACATGGCCTCGGCCGGCACGTACGAGCCGATTTGGGCTAGGAGAACCAGCAGCGCCACGGCGCGGACGTAGCTGGATTTGCCGCCCATGTTGGGCCCCGTGATGAGCTGGGCGAGCGGGGAGGGCGAGGCGAGGGAGGTGGTGAAGGGGATGTAGCCGTCAGGGAGGGTGTGTTCGGCAATGGGGTGGCGGCCGGACGTGATGGAGATGGTGGGCGGGGTCGCAGTGGGGAGGAAGGTTGGTTTGCTATAACCCGGGAGGGAGGCGACTTGGGCTAGAGAGAGGAGGCAGTCGAGGGTGGCTAGCGAGGCGACGGCGTCGCGGAGCGGCTGGTACTCGGAGGCAATGGATTTCAGAAGGTCTGTGAAGGCATTGTCGCAGGCCGCGGCGAGGGCTTCCTTGTGCTGGTCCCGCTCGTTCATCAGGCGCATTACCTCGGGGGTATGAAAGCGGGAAAGTTTTTTGGTCCCACTGATCTTGGCCCATGAGGCCGGTACGTGCTTCAGGTCCGTATTGGGGACCTCAATCAGATATTCGATGCCAGACACGGTGACATAGGTGACAGGGGTTTTCTTGGACAGCTTCGTGGCGGCGTCCTTGCGGTGGACATCCAAATCCGCCTCGACGGCAGCAATACCCAGCTTGTGATTGGTGATATCCTCCGTCTCCTCATCGTCGCGGAAAAATGTGTACTTGTCGTCCTTCCTCGCGGCTTCCGGGTTGATTTTATCGAGATATGCGCTCACGATTGTCCCTATGCCCGGCAGAGCGTAGATTGCTTCGACGATCAGGGATGAGTTGAAGCCCGTGTCTTCTGGCGTTTTCACTCTAGAAAATTCGATAGAAATCCTTTGGAGGGTTTGAAGGGTTGAGAGGAGTTCGGGACGGGTGCATTTTCCGTAGTAGATGCGGATTAAGCTCCGTTCAAGGTCAGCCTTGATGGAGTTGAGCACGCCGCCTAGCCTGTCGACTTTGAAGTTGGATTGGTGTTCGAGTAACTCCTCGACAGCGGTGACTCGCTCTTCCAGTCGTTCTCGATCCAGCAGCGGACGGCCGATCCATTTCCTCAGTAGCCTCCGGCCAGGGCGGGTTCGTGTCTTGTCAAGCGCCCACAATAGGCTTCCCTTTTCGGACTGGTCTGTTGCGTTCCTGTAGACCTCCAAACTTTCCAAAGTAGTACCGTTGATCAACATGTGTTGTCGTGTGGTGAATGATTGGAAGTACTTGGTCAGGTCGAAGATGTGTTCCAGACCATACTCGGTCAAATGGGTGATCATGGCCGACAGGCAAACCGTCACGGACTCCGGCAGCTTCAAAACCTTGTCGAGCAGAGATGCTGAACGCTCGTCATCGCCTTTGACCTTGCCAGCATAAAACTGCGTAACGTGCGAGCTGGCTTCGGCGGCCATCGTCTTGCTTTTTGGCACCCTCTCCACACGGCTTCTGTCACCAAAGACATTGGTGCTACTGCCGGCGAGATGCTGAACCAGCTTGTTGGTGGCTTTAGACAGCTCCCCCACCACAAGGAGCTCGCACGGGGATATGTGTAGCAGACGCGTCTCGATTTCACGCCTCATAAAGCCATCTTCAAAATCGTCGTAGATGATGTCGCCTGTTGCAGGTTGAACCGCCATGACGCCGATATGGACGTTTTCGTCAGTCCCTAGACCCTTAACCGGTGACTCGGTCAGGCAGAGCAAGTAACCCCCCGCGGAAGCCCCAGCGCCTTCTCCCGGTTGGTCAAGCTCCCCTGTCTCGTCGATGTAGGTCCCTTTGGTGTATATATTCGTGAGTTTCCGAACGAATGGTGCATTTCGGTTATCGCCGGCTTTCTTCAGCGCTGCCGTTTCCAGCTGGCGAACGACGCCAACTTTGTGCCCTGCGGCAACAAGACGTTTCACATGGACGCTCAACCGATGGACGGGTATGCTGGCCGAGGCAAAACGGTCGATATGGGCTTCCGATGGGTCTTTCCAGTCGTTAGCAGGCGTTCAAAAAGGGTCAACTAGTTGGGAAAACGAACGTTCATCGTATCTGAATTTTCCGGGAATGCAGACGATGCTGAGTTCTTTGGCCGCAATTCGGGCGTCCTCGCCAAAGAACCTGAACTTGTAGCCGACCTCGACCACCAGAACGGTATCCATGTGCTTCCTCTTGATATCGAGAAACTGAATTTCCATGGGAGTGAGCTTGCCAGTCTTAGCACCCTTCTTCTTGGTTTTCGATGGGAGAGGGGTTTCATCCTCCTCAGCATCACCGCCCTCCTCTTCGCCCTCTCCATCCAAGCCAGGACTTTCATTCTGGCCAAGGAGCTCGCGTCTCCTTAGCGAGGCCAAACTATCCGGGTGCCCGAGCTTCTTGACGAACTTCCTATGCAATTCCTCTTTCTTCCGCCTCGTCGCCGCGTCCTCGTCCTCATTGAGCCCAGACGGATCCGAGGCCAAGCGGTCTGCATCGTAAGCGTACCGCTCAGTCCGGGACGATGAGCTTGGAGGTTCAGGGATGGGAGTGCGGCCTGTTGATGCCTGCACGGGTGGGCTGGAGACTTCTTCGGAGTCATCTTCGCTCACGACCGACTTTGCACGCTTTGCGGCGCGACTAGATCTTCCGTTTCCATTGCTATTGTTGTCTTGCAAAGGCCGTTTCCGGTTGGACTCTAAAACCGATAAAGTTATCGGCGAAGACTCGTCCTTCTCCTTCCCCTTCCCGATAATCTTTTGGGTGTTCTCGTCCTCGGTCTCGTCCTTGTTTCTGTTCGCGGCCGAGCCTCCCCCGGGAGAGTTCGCGTGCTTCTTGCTTGATATATTGGCAGTGAAAAAGCTAGTCAGCGATGCCTGCTTCTTCACAGGAGCTCGAGAGGGTCCCGCCATGGCTTCGTGGTGGATGTGCGAGGTTGGTGTGTCGATGCCGCGCGCAGTGCTTCAGACGCGACCCACCCGCTGCTCGGCTCCTCGTTGGGATCCCCAAATTTTGGAGACGCGCAGTGAGCGCGTCTCCTGATTGAGTGGTTGCATGCGATGGCACGTGATATGCACCAATGCCAAGTCCCAACTTGTCCCCATTTTTTGAGGAAGGGTTTCTCCTCTTTTCCCATGGGGTTTGCAAGTCACGAAGTCTGGACTCTGGAAAATTCTGGAGATTCCGGGGGCGGATACAGACGAGATGGATCAATGCTGTTGATCACCCCTCTGTTGGCCCACGACCAAAACAATGAAATAACAGCCGCTGCCTGTCGGCTCTTCGGGGCGCATCTCGCGAAGCCCAATCCTTCGGATTCTCGAAGGGAGACATGCTTTTCAGCTCATCGACGTCTCTTTTGATTTCTCTTCCGACAGGATGCTGTTCCGTCCACAAAGGCGGAGCCCAAGGGACCATGGCTACACCAAGACAACCCTGCCGTGGTATGGTCCGTATGGAGTGCACTAGCAGAGTCGCACGCAGGACCTGGCGAGACCTCCGTCCCGCCCTGAAGGCCCCGCAATCATGTGCTAACAGCATCCTTGCAATATTGCCTGCCTGTGCAATGCAACACAACTTCCCGGTTGAGGCGCCCAAAAGCTCATCAGAACCAGAGAGGCTTCATCGTCGTTGGCGCCGTCCTGGGCGAGCTCCATCTTTCGGGTCCGGGGACGTGGCAAGCGCCCTTCAGGACCTTTCGAGAACCAACAGAGAGTGACCGCCATCCACACTCGCGTGGAAAGTCGGCCGACGATGCGGAGCAGGGCCACGACTATGGGGACTCACTACACAGTACCTAGGAAGTTTGACACTTGTTGGTGCTTCACGATTCTTCCCGCTCCTAAGTTGAGTCGCGGCCCGATGAGGGGAGACGCGCCAATGACTGCCGTTACGCCTTCCGTTGTTGCAGCATTGAAAGTGCTCACTCGTTCAAACTGCCAATGCATTGCACTCACTGCACGCTGTGGGCACTTTGCAGCAATGGATGGCTACCTAGGTAGGTAGATATTTTGAGAAGGGACGATAGACACACCTTCCCAATGCCAGCATCATGCCTGCCGTGCTATCCTTCTCGGTTCACGGCTCAACCTCTTTCTCCCGCATCCTTCGAACTCCAATTTTTTCCTTCCATGCGTCAAACTGTGGGCTGCCTACCAGCGTCAAAGCCCCGATATTCGGGGACCGATCTGATCTTACCCAAGATTTGCCCCCAAAACATTCAGCCGCAGCCCTATTATCCCGGGTTACCAGCCGTGCCCAGAAATCAAACACGGTCATGAGGGAGGAAGGGTCCAAAAATCCAGACCCGTCGCCGTCAGCTTGGCGGAAGCAAGGAGAAAAGAAAACACCACGAGATCAGGCGTCGCCTCGGCAGAACGCGGCTGGCCAGATCCACCGACGCGGCCCCGATCCGTACCAAATCAGCCAACATGTCCCGATTAAGGCCCTGGTGATGTCCGAGTGTCAGCTCAAGCCCAGCAGTCCAGGTTGAAAAGCTCGGTCCAGCTCGCTTCATCCTTGCACTTTCAACAGCCGACATTTTTAGGCTAAATATACGCCAAGACGGGTAATGCGATGGCCACAAACCTTCGCAGCAAAGACCTTCACTGGCACGATTGGCTTCGTCTGTCAGAGGCTTGAACAAGAGGAGCCGCATGCAGGGAACGGGAAGCTGCAAAACTCGGGTTAGCGCGGTCGCTTCCCACCGAGCACGCCCCGGGATTGGCTAGCGCAACGTCCCTGCTCCCCTTCTCGAAGCCTGATGAACGAGCGAACCCGCCAGTTACCATCGTCGCCCATCCCCGGACCGGCCCCACGCTAAACCGGCTGGCCACTCGTGAGAGCGGGCCAAGGACTCGACGGCGAGCAACTGGGAGCCCCGGATTTACGGGGAACCTTTCCTGCCACCCAATCACAATCCCGCCACCGCGAGCTCATCCACTTCGCCCACGCTTTCTCCCCATCGGTTCACAGGTCGACGAGCGTTTCAACGGCGCATGTGGCGTCCTTTTGGCACCCTTCTCGAGTCCTTCGACACGCCGGCTGACCGGTCATCCCCGTCCCTGGTTTTTGGCTGATTTCCTCGGCCCTCGATGCTTGGCCTTCTCATCGACGGGCCCCCATCTTTCCGAACGCCAGGTCTGATGCCTTCTGTTGGTGTTTCCAGCCGCCGGGTCATGCCCAGCAGCGCCATGTTCTCCTGGCGCTCCGGTGTGTGGGTGCTCATATCGATATGCATGCCATCATGCAACTCCGAGGTACCTCATCTACTTGCCACGGCAAACGGCACCCACCCCTGATACCTCCCTGGCCAGCGTCCAGAGACACCCCACCACGGTGGATAACTCGACAACCGGGCCCAAACACCAATGCCTTTCATGTGCCATGCTCCGGGCTCAAGCAAGCGCGAGCAAGGCATTCCACTGTGATCGGACACTCCGTAGTCCTGCTCACCGCCGCTGCTCCTAGGACTTGAGATTAGGAATCGCTTCAACGGTTTAGTTAAACAAGCGCGCCACTTTGATGAATGCATGCAGAATGCCCATATCGGTCCGCTTCCACCGTCAGCGCATTTGTTGGCTCCCAGTGGCTGCGGGATGCTCTGCTCTCATTTGTTCAGGACTCTCGCTTGTCCTGCCGAACCAGCAAACCCACGCAAAGCCGGTCCGAACGCCCCTTCCGGGGTGTCCCTCGTGGCCAAGCCGAGCCAAGTCTCGGCAGGGAAAATGCTGTGGGAGTCCCGCAGATGGGGTGAACTGGGGGGCCGGTGCGGGGACGCAAAAGTTGGGGAAGGTTTGTTGGAGAGATCTGGTGATCCCCATGGGGGCCAGCTCGCTAGAGACGACATTCGCCTCCGCGCCCTCTGCGCCCACTCCGAGAGGTCTGGAACGCTGGGACGGCTGGCACTGGTGAGCTCTGAACAAGACGTGCTTTTTGCCCACGCTCATTGCTGCCTCAATGGCACCAGCGAGGTCGCCGGTGTCTCATCCTCCCATATCAGCATGGAGGGACGGGCCACGATCCTCAACGAGCCTGGCTTGTCAATCTGCTGCCGCACCGCTCCGTCCCGGCCTTGCAATTCATGGGTGAGCGTGGAGTGGACTAGCGTAGTGTACATGTACATACGCGACTGCAAAGTACATGCTGAGGACCCAGCTATTTACAGAAGTGGATATCCCGTAGCGTGGTGCCTCACGGAGGTGCAGAGATTGGTTAAGCTTCGCTGCAGTCGGTCTCGTCCCCCTCTCCTTGCCCCATCACCCTGGTCATCTCCCCCAGCCGCTTGCACGGTCCGGTTGTCCGTCTGGCGGCCCTTCCCCAGACCCCAGAGTTGCTGCGCGTGCCCTCACGTCTTTATAAACCTAGCATCCCTCCGCCGATCAGATGGTCCCCTCCTTCTTGCCTCTTCGTCACGGGTCCAAGGAGACGGGTCAACTTCATCGCCAATACCTCACCCGACAGCCACTGAAACACCATACCCGGCAAGCTCGACAAGATGGGTATCTTCAACAAAAAGAAGCCCGGCGCTGATGCGCTGGCCGCCGCTCAGGAGGAGGCTCCCGAGTTCGAGAAGGTCCAATGGACCAGAGATCCCGGCCTCCGCAAGCTCTATTTCTATGCCTTCGTCTTGTGTATTGCGTCGGCGACCACTGGTTACGATGGGTGAGTTGGCTCCGCGCGGGGACGGGGGGGCTAGGGTTGCAGTGCGCTGACTGGGACTTTTTTTCGGCCTGCAGTATGTTCTTCGGTTCCGTCCAGAACTTCGAAACCTGGAAGGCGTACTTCAACGACCCCCAGGGCTCTATGCTCGGCCTGCTTGGTGCCCTCTACCAGATTGGTAGCTTGGTTTCCATCCCTCTCGTGTAAGTGGTAGATTTGGATTTGGGTTCTGGAGCGAACGTCTTGCAACGGGGCAGCTGACTCTTGTGTCCTACTCAGCCCCATCCTGGCTGATAGTGTTGGCCGTAAGCTCCCTATCGCCATCGGCTGCGTTATCATGGTTGTCGGCGCCGTTCTCCAGGCCTGCTGCCAGAACTTGGGTACCTTTATGGGCGGTCGTGCGCTGCTCGGTTTCGGCAACTCGCTCGCTCAGATCTGCTCCCCCATGCTTCTCACCGAGATTGCCCACCCCCAGCATCGTGGTCGCCTCACGACCGTCTACAACTGCCTCTGGAACGTCGGCGCCTTGGTCGTCGCTTGGATCTCGTTCGGCACCAACTTCATTCCGACCGACTGGTCGTGGCGTATTCCGGCCTTGCTCCAGGCCGTTCCCTCCGTCATCCAGCTGGCCTTCATCTTCTGGGTGCCCGAGTCGCCTCGTTACCTGATGGCCAAGGACAAGCACGACAAGGCTCTCCAGATGCTCGCCAAGTACCACGCCAACGGTGACGAGAACAACGCCACCGTCCAGTTCGAGTACCGCGAGATCAAGGAGACGCTCCGCCTCGAGTTCGAGTATTCCAAGACCAGCAGTTATATGGACTTCTTCAAGACCAGGGGCAACCGCTACCGATTCTTCGTCCTCATCTCTCTCGGCATCTTCTCACAGTGGTCGGGTAACGCCATTATCTCCAACTACTCTAGCAAGCTGTACGACAGTGCCGGTATCACCAACGCGACTCAGAAGCTCGGTCTCTCGGCTGGCCAGATGTGCCTCGCTCTCGTCGTTTCCATCACCATGGCTCTGCTCGTCGACAAGGTCGGTCGTCGGCCCATGTTCCTCGCCTCCACTTGCGGCATGTTCGGCACCTTCATCTTCTGGACCCTCACCTCTGGCCTCTACGACGAGCGCCAAGCTCCCGGTGCCAACTACGGCATGATCTTCTTCATCTGGGTTCACGGCGTCTTCTACTCGCTCGCCTGGTCTGGTCTGCTCGTCGGTTATGCCATTGAGATCCTGCCGTACAAGCTCCGTGCCAAGGGTCTCATGATCATGAACTTGACTGTCCAGTGCGCCCTGACCCTCAACACCTACGCCAACCCTCTTGCCTTCGACCACTTCGAGGGCCACACCTGGAAGCTCTACCTCATCTACACTGTAAGTCCTGGTTCCAAATCACCCATTGACTGACCTCCGGGGGCGTTGGCTAACTCTTACTCTCTCTCCAGTGCTGGCTGTTCCTCGAAGTCTCATTCGTCTTCAAGATGTACATCGAGACCAAGGGCCCCACCCTCGAAGAGCTCGTCAAGATCATCGATGGCGACCAGGCCGCTGTCGCCCACGTCGACATCCACCAGGTCGAGAAGGAGACACACATCAGCGAGGAGAAGTCTGTCTAAGGGATTGGCTTTTATATCTCGGTGTTGGTTGGTCCCTTTCTGTCGACGGGTTGGCTTGGTTGTTTGGCTTGGTTGCGAGTCGTGCCATGTGTTTAAAAAATTCCCCCCAATATGTTCTTTTATTTAGGTATATTCTTGTTACCCAAGCGAAAGACTCGTCTTCTGACTACAAGAACCACAAACCCACCCTTTCTGCTTGCCTCTTGTGTGACTTGATGATGTTCTCCTTACGGCGAGGGCCTGGAGACCATCATGCCGGCGCTGCCTGGTGCTTACCGGCCGCCTCCTGAATTCGGAGCAAGCGACGGAACCGTCTGAGATTTCACTGGGCAGGCTTGGGACTTACCGAACCCTGGTCAGGTCTTCGCTTGGGATTGATTGCGGGTGCGAAACCGTCCGGTACTCGCCGTGTGTTAATTTCTCGGGTTACATGGCGGGATGTTCTTTAATTTGTGACAAGATACCCTGGTATGCCGCTTTTTCGGTCTCGGAACACGCTAAAAAAACGCGCGGCGTTGGTGAAAGTGACAGTGACAGTGACACAGACAGTGACCACCCCCCCATTAGCTTGAACAGGCCCGTCCCATCCTTACTAGCGTGTTTCTATTGCTGCTCGTGGTGGGTGATCGATCCCCGAGAACGGCAAAAGTCACGAAAAGGGACGTACCGAATTATGTCCCTGCCTGCAAGTACGCTACAAAAATACAAGGTTACAAAAGTTAGTTACCCGGCGCGAAGACCACCAAGCTTTTGAATTTATCCAAGGTGTGGTGTCCGCGGCGCTGGGTCCGGGACCGGGCCTTGCTGATGACCCTCTCTTTTCCTTCATCCTGGCTAAAAACCCACTGGGGGCCTGACTGATGACTGCGCCGGGACTGCGCAGCAAATTCGGGGTACCCGCGCGTGGAGAAACTCCACCACCCCCGGGGTCCATGTGTGTGGTGTGTGGTGTGTGGTGTCTTCGTTCCTTTGGCGCAGTGTAGATCGACTGACGATTGTCTGGGGGGCTGTCCGCGATCGCCGTCCTCCTGGACGGATGGAAGGATGGATAGGGTGAAGATCGAAGAGCGGACCTTGGCCGCCTCAACCCCCCTCACCCCTGATTCGGATAGATGCCTGTTTTGGAAACCGTCTTGCTCGACGTGGACTTCCAGGTTGGATGTACATGTACATACACTACGTACGTATCGGTCCCGTCCCGGAGCTTGGAAGGAGTACGCTTGCGTCGGCTAGAGGGGACGTCGCTCTTGCGGGGGCGTGTCCGGGCCCGGGTGGCGGGATGTAAGGCGGATTTGTTGTTTGCAGAGTGAGGGCAAGAGATTGATCGCTAACTTGTTGGACTGTTTGTCTGCTGCGCCAAGTCTACCAAGCAATGGTATATGTTCAGTGTGTCTGAAAGATTTGTCACGGTCCCAACTCGAAAGCCTATCTATCCGCCAACAAAGTACCTATGTGCGTCTCGTTCTTGGATTCTTGGCTCGTATCGCCTCCCGTGTTGGGGTACTTGATGGGGCCACCCGCAGCCAACGAACGCTGGAATGAGGGAGGGAGGAGGAATGGAGCTTTGCGGACCATCAGGCCAGAAGGTCTAGAAGCCTTCCAACGTTCAGCTGAGACGGCAAGGGTGGCAAACAACCTCGCTTGGGATCCTACTCGGTGGTCAGGCGATGTTCGCGAGAGAGGAGTTCGAGAGGAGATGGTGCCCCGTTTCCTCTCCACCAGACGCCTTTTCTTCCAGCGGCAAAATACCACAGATCCGCCTTGCCGCTTGGCCCAGCCACTCACCACCGAGCAACGCGCGGCTGGCTCCGTCGATAACGGCCGACTATCTGTTGGTCCGGGTTTGGGAATTCGAGGACGACAGGTACTCTGCGAGTACATGCGACGTGCTTCCCCAATAGTCGGGTGGGTGTATGTCGTATCCTGTACCTTGGCAGGAACCTCACCTCGCTCCTTGGACCATGCTCCAATATTTCCTGTTCGCCGTTGCTGCTGAAATCCTTCGGACGGCTGGAATGTCTCGATTCTGCATGAGGGTGTCGCAACCGTCTGGCTGCATGAGACGCATGGGTGTAAGCATGTCGCCTTGGACAGCCCAACACCATCGCACCAAACAACATCAGAACACACCAAGCCAAACAAAGCCACTATACGGCAGCGATCATGATCCACAGTAATACCGAGTCCACGTCCACCAGCCCCGGTTCCGTGCTCTTCCCGTGAGGAACATGATTATTCTTCTTCAATCTATACTGCGTCTTTTTTCGCGCGCCATACACTGAGCAGCGGGAGCAGGACCGCACAATCAATCCTGCAAGGCACTCTACTCACGTCTCGCACCTGCATCATGCTCAAAATTGCCTCTGAATGACGACCCGACCCTCGCTCGGCGGCCCAACGATAGACCCAACCGCAGACCAACCGCAGACACATTTCTCGCTAACGCCTCGGTTTGTTGGGGGGCTGGGGAAAAAGACAGGCCGGCCGGGAAGCGCAAGCGGCATGTGTATGCAGGCGGGAACAGGAACAAGAGACAAATGGCAACCGGAGGCGGGATGTAGGGGGCGGAATTAGCCGGGTATATCTCTCAGCTCGCTGTCCCTGCGCCTTCAAAGCGAGGGTGTGGGAGGCGAGATGACGATAGGTCTTTCGGGACCGATGTGAGGCAAGCCTGAATCAGGACAGGTAAGGGTGAGGATAGACATGAGAAGCCATTATGGCGGTGGACATTAGTTGCAGACGTAACGCCCGTTGTATTGCAGTGCAAGTTGAATGGCGTGTGAGCGACACTGGCGATAACCAATCCGGGGAACAGCTGGAAGTCGTAAATCTGTCTGCGATTGTTGCCGCCTCAACCCTCTACCCTTTTTCAACGGTGCCTCGCCCACTGTTTCCTGAACTCGCCAACCACCCCTAATATAGCTTCGTACAATTGTACAGCGTCTTCCAAACTTATATAAACCGGCGCAACGGCAGGCTTGTCCATGACCGAAAAGTGTCGGACGGTCGCTTGCTGATGCCGCATGCAAGTGGTTGGTGTTTGGTCTGCCGCGCGTGATGCCATTTTGATGTTTTCCTCAGCGAGATCCGCAACTTTCTGAAGTTCTGGCCTCTATTGCCCTCTTGAAGGTCGACGACGTAGAGCCCGCATCGATATGGCCGCTCAGCCCATTTCAGGGCTTCGTCTCGCAGCGTCTGGTGTTTGCTTCCTTCCTCCTCGTTGCGACAACGCGTGGTTGTTCGAGATGGATACGTAATTCCCGGGGCCGCCTCTTATCTTGCCGTTGGGCTAGAGCTTGAAGGGCTCAGTTCAGTGAGGTGAATCTTCCATAAACTGAGCATGCGATTGATGCCGCCTGAGGCTGTCTCTATTGGTGGCGACATGCAAGTCGGTTGGTTTGATGTCTCTGCAGACAGACTCCGGCTCTCGCGGTGAGTTTGACGGGTTCCTCAAGGACACCCCAATGATGAGTTTTCGTCTCTTTGGTAGCCCCGGCGCACAGATGACGAGCAAAATGACGCCCCCTAAGCACCGTAACAGCAAGTTGAGCCGGCAGAGGCCCTCGATAGTGCTGCCTTAGTCCTCTCTCTTGTCCCCATCAAAATTATCGAAATAGAGAAGTTGATTCTGGCGCTGTCGAAAACCCTTCAGGTTCTTAGCTTCTGTACCCGGGACACCTAGGGTGTTTGTCAGGCGGTGGAAGGGCGTCGAAGCGCGTTCGTACGCGATGCCCCTAGTTCGCGGATTTGTTCGCAGGTATGGCAGCCTTTCCACCAAAATTTTCGAAACCTATAAGGCGGGGATGAGCTACCGGCGGTGGTATGGGGCATGGGATATGGACGAGATGTTCCGAAGGTCCCGGTAACCCGGCCGCTGGTGCAGAGACAACGTAGAAGGTGCGGAGCGGCGACGGAAGGTCTCAAATGAGCGAACCGAGAACATCATAGCAAAAGCAAGTTCAATGGGTGCCTTGACCCCATCGTGACTTCCTGGAATGGCGCCCGGAAAGACGCATCGGGAGGAACAACCGGGAGCTCACTTGATGTCCTTGACTCCAGGAGACGAATACATATCGAGTTGCCGGCGGCCCTTTCGCAATAAAAACTCCACTGCGGCGAAATCTCGTTTATCAATTCCCATGTTCTTTTCGAACTCGTTCCTGTTGTTTTATGAGCACCAGTGCCATGCATGGGTTTAAGGATGCGTGCCTACCTTGCAAAGACCTGAAAATGCTTGCGGTTTGCCTCTGGCTTTTTTCGGCATTCGCGGACACATTGCCGATACAAGGAAAGGACCTCTTTCTGGAGTCCTGACAGGCGCATTGTGGCGATGAGAGGGATGTGCGGACAAAAAGGGTAGTTGTTGGAGGTTTATTCAGCAACGAGAACAGACCAAAAATTGCAGCATCAAAACCTCGGCACGTCATGACCCGAGCCGACAAGGGGTGGACCGGGCCGGGAAGGGGTCCACCCCCCGAACAGACCGGGCCTCCGCCTCGGGGCGCCGAGCTCGGCAATGCAAGGATAGCGCTAGGGTTGTTGGCTGGTGGAATAATTCACCCGAAAGCTTGTCTCTATCGTGGTATTCCGGCAGCTGCACGAATGGAAGGGGGCACTGGAAGGTCGATTCAAGGTCCCAAGGCGGAGTTATTCACAGCTTCTCCACAGAAGTCAGGGGGGAGCAATCACGAATACAACTCTGTAAATAACGAGATATCTCCGTCATCCGCTTACTCAGTCAACTCAACCAGACTTGACTCGACGACCTCCTCATATTGCTGACTTGTGAGCTTCACTCTGTACCTTGACATTCCAACACTTCAGATATTCACTTACCATGGCCACCTTTTCTGTAAGTCAACCCTGGCTATTCCCAGTATTAAATACGTACGGCAACGTCCTGACTGTCGGTAATAGCGCCTCGTCCGCTTCCTAGCCCGGGATGGCCGCACCTACTACGGAGACGCCATCCTGCCCCGCGGGATCAGCGACATCAGCAAGGCTCGCCAGGCCCGCATCATCACCGGCGACATCTTTGGCAAACACGATGTTACCGACCAGGTCGCCGACATCCGGACGCTCCTGGCCCCCCTGGCCCCGGAAGATGTCCGGACGGTGCGGTGTCTGGGGTTGAACTACGCCGCTCACGCAAAGGAGGTGCGTTGAGCCCTCTGTTTCGGAGTTCCATAAACCCCAAAATTAACCAACAAAAAAACAAACAGTCCAACATGCCCATCCCACAATACCCCGTCATCTTCGTAAGCAATCCCTCCCCCTCCCCCCTCCAAACAACAACAATAACATCCAATATACTAACCACCCCCCAGTACAAACCCGCCACCTCCCTCACCGGCCCGACCGACCCCATCCCCATCCACCCCCTCGCGCAGCAGCACACCGGCCTGGACTACGAATGCGAGCTGGTCGTGGTCATCGGCAAGCGCTGCGCCGACGTGTCCGAGGCCCGCGCCCTCGACCACGTGCTGGGCTACGCCGTCGGCAACGACGTCTCGCACCGCGACTGGCAGCTGAAGCTCGGCGGCGGGCAGTGGTCCCTGGGCAAGGGGTTTGATGGCTGGGCGCCGTTCGGGCCGGGGATTGTGAGGGCTGTTGGTGGTGGTGGTGGTGTGGAGGGGGGGATTAAGGATCCGCAGGGGTTGGGGATTCGGACGAGGGTGAATGGGAAGGTGGTGCAGGATAGTACGACGGCGGATATGGTGTTTGGGGTGGCGAGGACGGTGGCGTTTTTGAGTCAGGGGACGACGTTGATGCCGGGGGATGTTATCTTTACGGGGACGTGAGTGTTCTTTCCCTCCCCCTTTTGCTTTGTTTTGGTGTGAGTGAGAATGGCTGACTTATCTTTGTCGTCGTAGTCCGCAGGGGGTTGGCATGGGCAGGAAGCCGCAGGTGTGGTTGAAGGATGGCGATGTTGTCGAGGTCGAGCTCGACGGCGTCGGAACTTGCACGAACAAGGTCGAGTTCAGCCCTGCGAGGGATGCCAAGCTGTAATGGTCTAATAGGATGGTTGGATCTAAGAGAGCGGTTTCAAATTCACGTTGTTGTTGAGGGCAGCTGCTTCGATCCCAACTCCTGCAAGCTAGGCTCCTTCCGGCAGCTTGTGACCGTGCGGCTCGTGGTGGTATCTGTATGAGTCCCCATCCCACACTGTCACCGGCCCTCCCAATTCAAGCTGACACTGGTTGGCTCAGCGGCATTGGGAGGGGCCCGGTTAGTAACCCCTCCGAAAGAGGGTGCGGGTTCGACTCCCCCCTCGCAATAGTAAAAGCCCGTGGCAAGGTTTTTCAGTAACCCCAGCCTCCCTTCGACCGGCGAATGAGAGTTCGTGGGTGAGCTTTTTGATCCTTCCCGCCAGCTACTAGAATCACTTCGTTATACCATTCCTCGCACCCAAACCAATATCAGTCTGTGTTATTTTATTGGCTCTGTAGATCTATGAAGTAGTTCAACCGAGAGTGTATATAGCCTCTTTTGGAGGTATTTATACTATAAGGCTGTAAATGAACGTGATAATATAATGTTTTGCGGATGCCAGGAAGACGCGCGAATGTTGGCTTTTGCTATTCGGGCACTCATACTTTGGCTATTGGGGCACTCACACCCGAGATCATTGGGAAAGGGTTAGGGTTAAATATGGTCACATCTCACTCCAGAGCCGTTCTTGCATTGCTAACGAAATCGATCATTTCTGCAACAATCTAAGCCTACAATAGACACTATTACTTCCCTAGTGTGAGAGGCGAGGGACATTTGGGCGAGGCGCGAGGGCACTGCCGATGAGACTCTATTTCTGCTAATTGCAAGATGGGGAGAAAAGGAAGAGAAGCTGGAAGAGCTCTCGCGATACAGGAGTTAAATGCCAGCTCGTGTGGTCACGTGCCCAACCAAGTGGAGCCACAGTGCACTCCGACGGCAGCTGCCGTCAAGAGGTAAATGGTGCAGCGAGAAAGAGGGAAGAAGTAGGGGGCTTGTACGAGTTAAAGGCAAACCGATTTGATCCGAATGTAGTTAGCGTGCTAAGGCCCTATAGGCCCAGTGCCTCCGGGCGAAATAAATTCCATCCATCCATCCATCCAGCAGCTGCCGTCACACCTAGAGCGCTCGAAAACAATAGAGAGTAGTTATTTCGCTCCTTCCTCCGTCCTAGCCGCCTTGTACGTAGGTTTGATCGTCGACATCGCCGCCGAAGTCTTGGGAGGTGACTGGGCTTGAGGGGATGGCGATGGGGTCGCTGTGGGAGCTGCCTGTGCCGGCCATCTCTGCACTTGACAAACGCGCGATTTCTTAGACGGCGCGAGGGCCTGCAATGATTCCGACGGTCCCGCAACACTGTAAAATGGTTAATTTGGTCTCAGAACGCGGGTAGAATCGCTGCAACTAACCGTGGTTGGTGGCGGGGCACCCTGGTGATGTCGAAAGATTACATCAGTAGGAGAGTTGGGGACCATGGTGAATGGAATGCAATGGTGGGTCATGTAAACCCTCGATTGATACGGTGGGACCATATATAACCCTAACCCTTTTTCAATGATCTAGGGGGTGAGTGCCCGAATAGCCAAAGTATGAGTGCCCGAATAGCAAAAGCCCGAATGTTTATCATGGCGGTGGCACTCTTGGGATCTACCGCCAGCAGAAGCAACAAGTCATTTCACTGGAGTTTCTCTTGAACCCTACTTGGGGATAAGAGGTGGATCGATTGTTGGCCAGCAATATCAGTGTTACCTGAGTAAAGACTGACTCGAAAACAAAGAAAACCCTCCAATGCTTATACTTTCCAACGCCATTGTGAGTTGACACAAGCCTGAACTTGCTCTACCGGTGTTGACACTAGCAGGTTGTCCCTGTGCCTAGGTCTCGGTTCCGGACCTAGCACCTGTTCTGGGTTCCATCAGTTGCTGGTCCCTCCACTTAAGAGCAAGAAACCGTTCTACCGGACGATAAGGCAAAGAACGGACGTGACGAGGACGGCGAAGAACTGCATGTTGATGGCTTGTTGGAAGGTTGTTGAGAGTGTTGAGATGAAGAAGAAGTGGATGTGTTGGCTGATGAGAAGCATGTTGCCTTAGGGAGAGAAGGAAGCTCATATATATAGGTAACCAGCCAGCCCCTGATCCACCTCACGACATGGACATGACCGTCCTGCTCGCACTGGGGCCACCGTTGCAGAAGTGAACGACACCATACCCTCAGCCCTCATGGATCGCGTTACACTTTCTCCAATGCAACTTCGCTTGCCTTCGGATTGGTGTCGGACTGAATAGAGGTGAATCTACAACCAGTAATTTAGCAGCCGGGCTCCACGGGTTGACCATAATCTCGCTTTGTTTTTAATCCTAGCCCACCTGACCGCTTCGCAGTGTATCATCTCAGTTTCAGTTCATTACCTTACGGCAAGGTTGATAAATTGATTACATATTGTTTGTGTTACGCACGCTCTCCCGTGGTACGCTCGAATTGGTTGACTATGTTGGCAAGAAGTGATGCGGTGTGCATAGTCGCATCATCTGAATTAGATTAAAGGGGTAGTTGGTGAGCCTCGGACTCGCCATGGACCATGCGATGTACGACTTGTAAAGAGACGAGGACAAATTCAACTTGACGCCATAGACTCAACGAACCTCAAGACATCAGACTCTTCACGTAGTACAATTGCCATTACCTCGGAGTATAGATCATTTATCGCGTGCCCAGTCCGAGATTAAACAACACAAGAGCGGAAACAAGAATTACTAATTACCTAGTTAAGTAGGCTTTTCCGTAAGAGTCAAAATCAAAGGAGATGGCAACATCACCACATTTGACTCCCCTCGACCCGTGACCCCCCTTTAAACTCTGCCAACTTCTTTATTCTCTTTCCTAACCAGGGGACCAAAAAGAAAGCCATTCTGAAACCCAAAGTCTATTCTTCATTTTATTTGAATTTCTTTTCTTTTCTTCTTTGATTCACCCAGGAGCCACACCGAAGCAACAGCCCCCGTAGCGAGCCTTAGCGAGCGGAGGTGGCTGTGCGTAGGTGTGGCGGATGGGGGTTCGATACAGGTTCAGACAGTTAATTCCTGTGCTCTGATTGGCTGAAATTGCGGGATCCACCTTTCCCGACGGGACGATTGGCTGACGGCACTTGGTGAGCGGCCCGAATCAGACCGCATGTAAAAGCGCCGGTCCGGCGGCACGTGATACAACACTTGACATCGCACGTGATATCGCAAAGCCTGCAATGACGTCGGCTTCATGCCCCGCCAAACAAGCTCCCCACCATCAAAACAAAACAACCAATTCGCATCACCATTGGCAATCGCACCAGCCATCCCAGAATCATCGCGCAGAACCCATTTTTTAAGATACGACAAATCTACACGATGAAACGATAGCTCGTAAACGACTCTCTCTCATTCAGCTATCACATACGACCATATCCACGAGAAAGCACGGGATCCCGTCCGCTCTCCCCGAGTTAACCTCGTGAGAGCCGAATCAGTAGTTGGGTCGGTGACGACCAGCGAATCCTCGGTGTTGTATGTTTTTCTTTTTTACATTCTCTTGAGTACCAGACAAAGGCCCCACCTTCATAAACGACACCTTGCGCTTATGTGACGAACCTCCTTCAGGACCCTGCCCTGTCGGGGTTCAGCTTCGGTTGAAGGTAATCTCTCAAGGGTGCTTAGGTTCGGTGCAGCCAAAGGGTGCACAACAAAGGCTTATCTCAACAGTAGGCTCTCGAGCTTGTTATCAAAGACTTGGTTTAGATTTAATCGCAGGACAAAGTGAGCTCCTTGCCTAGCCTTTGCTGGGCAAGGATGTCCTTTTGCTCAGTGTTGGTAGATTTACGACATACATAATAGGTACATAATAAAATACCCTACCAGTAGCCGCCTTATCGTGTTACTAGCACAGAAAGGCTTCGCTCCGGAGGCAGCAGATTACGACATTGTGTTTTCCTTTCACGCTCTCTCCTCCCCAGATGCCCACGCGTTCTCCTTCTCAATTTTTCTTTTTCACGGCCATAGGGGACGAGAGCCCGGCAAGAACTCGAACCGACCACCACCAAGTGTTGCTCAAAGATTTCCTTCTCCAAAGTTCAGTTCCCACGATTTTGTTTCTTTTCGTTCCCTCGCACCAACGTACATAGTCCCGCATGGAACCGGGGATACGCCAGTCTTCCTGTGAGCTCGAGTTTTCCATCTAATCCGAACAAGCGTCGACCCCATTAGGGCAATGAGGAACTTTAAGGGCTGCATGGACACTGAGGACTTTTGGCGAGACAATACGTATGACTCATGAGAACCACGACGGGGACTCGGTGGAACACTGACCAGAGGGTGAATTTACCATCTACATAGCGTCCACCACGTTGCAACAAACGACAACACCGCAACGCTGACATCCAGAGTCACCATCTTCACGAGCGACATCAAGCGCGTGGCCAGCGCCATTGCTCGGTTCCTTTTACCTATTACACTAAGGAAAAGGACATCCTTGCCCTGCAAAGGCAAAGGGGACCCTATATACTGCGACGTTACCTTGTTCTGTCTTCTCGGTTTCCTTTCATTTTTTTTCTTGTTCTTTTTTTTCGTTCTTTTTTTGATCTCTTGCCTCCCCTTCGAGTTCGGCTTTTCTGGCCCATGGGGTAGGTAGTATGTAAGGTAGTATGTAGTATGTTAAAACTTACACTTCGTAGAGGACGAGACTTGGAGTTGGGGTTGGAGTGCAGGTGGCGTTCTGACCACTTGTGCTGATTCGTTACGTAATGTAACGATATCGAGCTCCATGGAATTGGCAGCCCAATGCGCTCTCGCCGAGCCCTTGACAGGGCTTGGCACCCGCCTTGCCTTATCGTTATCTCACTTCGTTATCGCTTTCAAGGTTCGTTACCAGGAGCTGTCATGGCATCTTTGCCTACCAATCCAACCGCCAGATTCAAAACCAGGGAATCTTGCGTGACACTTGGATGGTGCGGCTGACTTGCATTATAAGGCGTGTCTCACCTCCGGTCTCGCCTTCCTCCAGCCTCTTCAACTTCCCGTCCTTCAAACATCAAACCGTCTTGTCCCTCGCTCCCCGGCGCAAGCATTCGGTCGCTTTCGTACGGAAAACCCAGGTCAGCGTTAACAAACTCAAAATGTCAGCTCCCGAAGTCTCTCACGGCCGCGGTGGCGCGGGCAATATCAATCCCGACAGCACGCCGTACGTCGACGGAGAGGTGGTTCGAGTGGGCACACCGGGCAGTCATGGAGATGGAGCTTTCAGCACTGGTCGTGGAGGTATGTACGAACACACCCACTTCCCCAGGCAAAAAGAAGCAGAGGCACGCACGCACATATCCCCAAAAATCGTCCCAACATTTTACCACCTCCAATCTTGGGAGTTCAATCTTGGGACGACGGCGGGACCTGATCGTCTCATCCAACCCCCCACAGGGCCGGATGCACGCCAAGCCTCCAGCTCGCGATAAGCAACCCATCCCATCCATCATCCCTCCATCCCCGCGCAACCCCAACCCTCCCTCTCCAAAAACGATACTCGGCAACTAACTAACCCCCTTCTCTTCACCCCTTCAAAACAGGTGCCGCCAACATCGGCGACGCGGGCGTGAAGCAGGTCACGCGCCTCGACCAGGACCTCGTCCCCGAGGCGGCCGTCCGGCCGAGCCACGAGAACACCGACTACCACACCGGCCGCGGCGGCGCCGGCAACGAGCACCTTGCCAAGAAGCCGGAGGATAAAGCGGCGGCGGCTGGGGAGGGAGCCGCGGCGCCGGTCGGGCTGGCGGATAAGCTGAAGAGGAAGGTTTTGGGGCTGTTTGGGAAGAAGTGATTTAAGAGGTGTTTCTGGTGGTGGTGCCGCGATGGGAATGGGGGGGGTGGGGTTGGCTGGTTTTGCTCGCTGTTATGTTTTTGTTCTTGTTCTTTGCGTTTGATACCACCGATGGACCGATCAGTTTTTGCTATGTAGCGAGTTGCAGTGGACGAGCACACCCATTCGGAAATATTAGGAACGTGTCGTTGCAGCCGGCATTCGGCGCCATCCCTGCCTGCGTCATGATCTTCACGCCTCGAAGCACCTCAGCCGTCTTTGGATGGGTTGCAGGAACCCTGCCTCCCAGCACCATTGGCACGGCTGCTGTGAATTTGGTTTGTGATCATCGCTCGATCTAGAATGAGCTGAAGATGGTCTTTGAGACACCCAAGCTTGCCAACCAAGACCTCCACGCCCCGCCGAGCAGCATCGTCATTCTCACCCGATGCTCGCTGTGTCTGATTCCTGTTGCTTGGCAGGAATGGGCGCCAAGAGGCGCAGGTCAGCGATCTGTTGGCGACGGCGCCCCAGAAGAGAAGGTCACTGGGCCCGTTTGGGCGTCGAGCCCGCCCGTCGCTCTCTGGTTCCGGGTTAGCTGCCATGCAATCGGCGCGCTGCGCAGCACGCCTGCAGGGAACTCGCAGCAGCCCGCAGGAACTGGCCCCGTTATTGGCAGTGTGATCAGGCCGGCATGCGCTTGTGAAATCGCCACCGCCGCCGAGTACCCGTACCCATCCTCGAGCCATCGAAGGGGGGGGATGGGGATGGGTCTGGTGGCTTCGTGTTTCGAAGCTTGTGAAACGGAATGGAGGGTGGCCGAGCAGAGATCGATACCCTATATGCCGCGATTGGCGCTTCGATAATAGGAAAAGGGGTGGAGCTTCGAAGGGTCTTAGGGGTATTCTGGTCACAGGTTCGAGATCTGGAACTGGGTGGTCGGCATCCCAGAGCGGCCCGTGATCAACACACCCACTTTGATCCCCGGATTTGCGCACCAACAACCTTGTTCATGCGGTGGGGGTTGCCGAAGCACACACGGTGGTGCCTGTCCTAAACATAGAGAGTACTTAACTCGGGCCCTGCCCTGGGCGACGACGTCGGGGCAAGGCGCTTGGCTTCTTGCGACAACCTCGAAAGATTCGACCATGATACCGCGTCAACTTGTCTTCGCAACGGCGATAATACCCCCCCGGACCTGGATACGCTGTCAAATACCTGTGTTGGCCCTATTTGTACTCGGCTTGTAAAGATCTTCGGTGGAATTCGGCAATCGTCGAAACTCGAACCTCCTAGTTATCCAAGGATCGAAAATACTGCGAGCGAGTGAAGAGGCGGACTCTACTTGATACCTACATTGGGATTTCGTCTCGAGTTCCTGCTTTCAGGGGTGGGAAAGCTTTGGCCTGATCGTGTTCGAGGCGGTGACGTCGTGCAGCACTCGGCTCATCTGTTTGGCTGTGCTGGATTAGGCGGTGGTAGGTGCTGCCTGCCGGCAGACAGGGTCACGGCTAGCTTCCTAGCGCTATGGTGCCCCGGAACGACCCTGAGGCTGGGCGCCCGCCACTCGCTCCGCGCCTCTTCTCTCGGTTCTCGCAACTATCAAAACACTCCTTCCTGTCGTACTCATCCTCATTTGAAGCCGACGACGAGCGATCCAGTACCGGCTCGCTGGAAAACTTTGGCATCATGAGTCCCGGCCGCAGCAGGAGCAATAGTGGCAGTGGCAGTAGCAGCTTTGGCGCGCTGCCACCGCGTTATCCGGGCGACGATACCCGCCCCACCAGTCCCAAGGAGCTCGCTGGTTGGTATGCATATGCATTTGCCGCCGAGGTTTATGTCATTTGTGGTCAGTTTTCTGGTTTAACATGCGAACGGCGAGCAGTTCATATCAAAAGCTAACATGTTGGTGTAGGAATCGGTATGTTGCTGATCGCCTTGCTCACCGTTTCCCGAGCCTAGAAGCTGACCGCGAATAGGTTCTTTCATCCCGATATTACTCGAGAGTCTAGCTAGGGAAAATGGGGTCCTTCTTTCTGACCGGAAAACCCCCTGCGGCTCTAGCTCGGATAAGAATGGCGACAACGGCGGACAGTGCATCGTCTATGTGCTCGGCATGGAGATCAACACGGCGAGCTTTGCTATGTACACGTTCAGCATAAGCGTACTGATTCAGGCGCTCCTCGTTGTCAGCATCAGCTGCGCCGCCGACCACGGCAACTACCGCAAGAAGCTGCTGCTCGCATTTGGATGGATTGGGAGCATCGCTGTGATGCTTTATATCTTCGTGTCCAAGAACCTCTATATTTTCGGCGCGCTGCTCGCCATCGTCTCGAACACCTCCTTCGGCGCATCCTTTGTGCTTCTGAACTCGTTCCTGCCACTTCTCGTTAGGCATCACCCCGAGATTATTGACAAGGAAGCCAACATTGTTCCGAATGGCCAGGACGCTCAGGATCATGAAGATCTGGATGGAGAGACAGCAATGGCCGACTCGACGGCCGCTTTGCTGCCGCGGGGCTCTTTGGAAGACGGAAACGCTCTCTCCCGGGTGCAGACACGCGAGGAGTTGACTTCGCACGAACTCAACTTGTCGACGCAGGTCTCTGCCAAGGGCATTGGGATTGGCTACATCGCCGGCCTGTTCCTGCAGTGCGTTGCCATCTTCATCCTCATTCAAATGAAGAACACGACATGGTCCCAGCGCGTCGTCCTCTTTGTCATCGGAGCCTGGTGGGCCATCTTCACCGTCCCAGCCGCCATGTGGCTCCGTCCCCGACCAGGGCCCCCGTTGCCCGCATCGTCGCGCCATACCGGCATCCGCGCTTTTATCGCTTACACTTTCTACGCCTGGAAGTCCCTCTTCCGCACCGTGCAGCTTGCCCGCCGTCTCGTCGACATCATGCTCTTCCTCGGCGGCTGGTTCCTCCTTTCGGACGCCATCGCCACCACGTCCTCGACCGCCATCCTCTTCGCCAAGACCCAGCTACACATGGAACCATGGGCACTCGGCATGATCAACGTCATTTCCACCGCGGCCGGTATCACGGGCGCTTTTTCGTGGTCCTACATCTCGCGCCGCCTTCACCTGCAGGCCCACCAGACCATCCTTGCCTGTATTGCACTCTTCGAAATCATCCCGCTCTATGGCCTGCTCGGCTACCTGCCTTTCGTCAAGAACTGGGGTGTTTTTGGCCTTCAGCAGCCGTGGGAGATGTACCCGCTGGCCGCCGTCTACGGTTTCGTCTTGGGCGGCCTGAGTGGCTACTGCCGTTCGCTCTACGGCGAGCTGATCCCGCCCGGATCTGAGGCGGCCTTCTACGCTCTGTACGCCATCACTGACAAGGGGTCCAGCGTTTTCGGCCCGGCTATCGTCGGCGCCATCATCGACGCCTCAGGCGAGATTCGCCCCGCTTTCTGGTTCCTGGCTGCCATCGTCGGCCTACCCGCTCCGCTGATCTGGTGTATCAATGTCGAGCGGGGCCGCAGCGAGGGGGAGAAGCTGGCCGAGGTTATCGAGGGCTTTAAGGTGACGCGGAGCCCCGAGAGGGAGAGTGATGAGGAGAGTCGGGCTATTTTGGACGTTTATGATGAGGAGACGGATCGGTGATGGGTGCTGAGCTGCTGGGTTTGTTTTCACATTTGATGCATAGCGACGGCGTTCGTTGTCTCGATGTTTGGATTGCTTTTTGGAAGCGCAACTGGGGTATTTGCCGCGTTTACCCTAATGCAATGTGCTGAAGAAGAGGAAGGGATATAACACGAACAAATGGAACCATGATGTTTATCGAGGCCCCGGGTTGCCGTCCGTCTGGTTCATCGCCGATTCCGATTCCTTTACAAGCCTATCGGGTGGGTTTACCTCATTCAATCGGGTTATATTTACGAAGTAGCTATTGCAGCAATCGGTTTACGTTTCCATGGCAAACTTACCTACCTACCTTAGTCAGGATGGCTCTTCCAGAAATGTCATGACGTTGACGACCCCCCTCGGCACTTGGTTCCCCAGGTCATTCCTTCCTTCTGCTTCCTTTGGCATGGGACTTTTGGTAGCGCCGTGTTCAGCCGAGCTTCTCCAGCCACATCATTTCCCCCCATTTTCCCAGGTTCCTCCCCCTCCCAAAATCACGTGGCTGGGTCCATTTCCCCTACCCTGGTTGGCGGACGCGGAATTCCGTAAATTTTGCTGTCATCTTTGTTGCGACGAGACGTGCCGACTGACTGCCAACTGCAACTGCAACTGCCATTGTCCATTGACGCAGGAGCATCGCTCGCCTGCAAAGCAACGGCCTTGGGGAAGTCGTGTGAAGGTTACCATCACCTTTTTGATGATAGAGAGGACCCGTGGCACACCCATCCCTCTAGTCCGACTCTCCCCCCCCGTCCCCCGTCGGTGGTTTTTCCCAGCCACCGAGGTGACCGCACTGCCCAGCTTGCTCCCCACGCTCCTCCCGGAGCACGCACCCCCGGAAGCTCCCTCGCGAGCCGAACCCATCCCTCGACCCATCGCCACAACCACCACCCTTCTACCGCCTCACCCACGCGTCTGTTTTTCTATCGCGGCTGACGGTACGCGCCGATCCTCCGTATTTGGCACCCGCAATCGAGACGGAAAGTCGTCGCAACCCCGATTCAGCCCCAATCCATCCCGGCGCAAAACATCGCAACACCCGGCGACCATGGCGTCCGCGCGTAAGAGGCCGAGAGCCGAGCCCGAAGACAACCGGGCAGAATGCCCATTCACCATCAAGATTGTCGATCCTAAGGACAAGGAGCAGAAGAAAAAGAAGCGCCGGCGCACCGAGAATGGCGACGAGGAGGATACAGCCCAGAGAATCAATATACAGCTGTCGCCCTTTGCGCCTTGTGGCAAGTTCAAGACGCACGAGTCCATGGATCTCTATTACCAAGTCGACCCCTCTAAGAGGTGGACAGACATGACGAGATACAACAGCTTCGTCCGTAAGTCTATGCTTCTATCGTTTCTGTTTCCGCTACGCGCCGACCTCGGACCACGTTGGGCTAACAGCAAGACTTGCTTGACCCGCAGTGAATGGGATCAAGTACTTCAGCGAAGGCTTCATCTACGTCGCGAACGACTTCAGCATCGAGCGCCAGAAAGCTGTCAATAACAACGAACCCATGCAACCCAGGAAGAAGTCGGACGACGACTGGGTTGCACGCATCTTGGAAATCCGCGCGAGCGACGAACACCACGTTGTATGGCCCGAGTCTACTGGATGTACTGGCCCGACGAGCTCCCGCAAGGAACCCATGATGGGAGGAAAACAGTCCAAAGCCCGCCAGCAATACCATGGCATGAACGAGTTGATTTGCCTCGAATCATAGTAAGCATTGATAATTGTGGCGCATACCCACGGGGTGATCCCAGAAATACTGACGTCAACGCAGTGGATATCATCAACGTCGTGAGCGTCACCTCGCAGGCGCAAGTGAAACAGTGGTACGAAGAAAACGACGAGGAGATACAGAATGCCCTGTACTGGAGGCAGGCGTTCGATGTTAGGACATACGAGCTTTCTGTATGCAATCACTTGCCTCCACCTGATTCGCAATTGGGCGTTTGCGCTAACCTTTGCCCTCTCTAGACGGTCGAGCTTGTGTGCAGCTGCAACACCCCCGGGAACCCCGATAAGATGCTGATAGGGTGCACAACGGAAGCATGCAAGAAGTGGATGCACGAACAGTGCATCCTTGACGATGCGCTCAAATCGGTATACGCACGATTGGGCACCGACAAGCCACACGTACTTCCCGTAGCCACGAAAAAGGAGGAGAACGGCGACGAGGGCAAACGGCCGTTAAGCCCCTCAGAAACCGGCGCCGAGGGCTCCGCGGAGCAGTCGATCGACGTCAAGTCCGAGGCTGCGGCATCCGACGCGGTGCATGTCGGCACGAAAGATAACGTTGAGGTCAGGCAGGCAGTCGATGACGAGGACGCCCAGGCAGCACCTGAGGATTCGCTCCCCCTGCGGTCCGCCGACCGCCGGCAGCGCGCGGCGAGCGAGAATACCACCAACACAGATACGCCGAGCAAGCCGGCCAGCGCCAGCAAGTCAGCGGGCAGGGCGCAAGCTCGGGCAGACCACGAAAGAAGGGGGCTGCGGGAGGCCAATGGGCGACAGGCTCGCTGGCCGTGGGGAGGGTTTTATTTCGAGGCCTCGCTGAAGACCGCCGACATGGGGCTCTGCCAATGATTGAGTTCCGGGATTTGCTGGGAAGGTGTGATGGGCGGGGAGAAGGTTTGGACGGAGCCTGTCAAGTGTCTGCTCTGTGAGGATCAAGTCAACTAGGCGCTGCCATAGTTTCATAAGTGGCCCATACACCAACTAAGCTGAAGATGGGGAGGGGAGAGGGGAGGAAAAGATACTGAAGAGTATGGGGACGACTGTGGGGAGGGGAGTGTCGGTGCTGAGGGAGAAACCGAGTCAGGGGGAGGAGGGACTGATGATGAGTTGTCGGACTCACCTGCCCTGGTGCATTGGGCGTCAAGACTCCCCCGGGCTACATGTCATGGGGGCCTTTTTCTGGACTGGCCATCGTGTCCGGCAAGAATAAAAGGGCGGGAACGCGGCCCCTGACAAAGTGACCTACGAGGAGGACGCGGTGCAACAAAGGGGAGCGCAGGGTCGATTGGGGGGAGGGGATACGCGAGAGTGTGTGTGGGTCTTCTAATGTGGGACTGGAGTAAAATGGACCGGATTCGGATTTGATTAGCTATGAAGAGAAGGGGGGAGACAAGGTGTGCTGTGGTATTCTTTGCTGTACAGCCTGGCTATCACGGCAAGGACTCGGCAAAGGCTGGGGGAGAGTTTGAACCCGGAGCTTTGTTTTTGCTGTCAGTCGGCGTCTCGACATGTGTTTTACCTACCTATCTAGCGACAATCGACGCAGGGGTGCTTTGTTTCAGATGGTTATACTCGGGCGTCGCGGGCGGGTACAAGGTGTGAGCCTCGACTCTCTCCATGTGGACTCGCTTTCATTGTTATCAAAAGAAACAAGTGGATGGTTTGTTACTCGGTCCAGCGCCTCTCATGTCCAACCTCCACACCAGGCTTCTCAGATCGCTCCAATCAGTAACATCCCCCTCAAACATGATAGTTAATATACCGATTGTTTGTCTTCTTTCAAAAATCGACGGTTACAGGCTCCGGGCATTGTAACAAAAAGCAACCCCGTCCTCAGATGATCACGGAGGCAAAAGTTTGACCGCGGCAGGGCTCGAACCTGCGATCCTCTGCGATACAAATAGCCTTGTAAAGCAGATGCCTTAACCACTGGGCCACGCAGCCTTTTTAGAGATGTTTGGTGTATGGAAACATAGGAGCTTTTGGGCTACAGCCACAGATCCTGACCCGGTTGATTGGCTCGTTGTCAACCCAGGTCCCTGCAACCGACTTAAAACACTTCAAACACCACAGCGCGCAGGAAACATTTAAGTAAACCGTGAAAAGACCATGAGACGCCTGCGTACTGCCAACAACATACTCCGCAGCAACGCGGCCAGCGGCGCGCCGCTGAGGTTCGTATCATAGCCCAATGGCTTATCAATCGCGTAGAATACCGGCTAATCTAGCGGCACAGTCGCAGGGCTGCTTCGTCCTTAATCCCAAATCGGACACCATTGTTGAACCAGCCCACGCCCACCTCCTACTCCATTGCCGTCGCCAGCAACACACTATGGAGCCAACCGCTAGCCCGGCCGTTCTCCCACACGGCGCCATGCCAGAAGAAGAAAAACAGCAACAAGAAAAACAACAACAGCAACTACAGCGACGACAGCGATAGCACCGGCCAAACCACCCCCTCAGCGGGGTCGGCGGGGGCCGACGCGGAAGGCCCCAATCCCTTCGACTTCGCCGACCTCCAAACGGCCTTCGACCGGGCGGAAAAGCACTTCAGCGAGGACCTCAAGAAGCTGCGCAGCGGCGGGCGCTTCAACGCGGAAGTGATCGGGGCGATCCCCGTGCAGACGGACAAGAAGAACCCGCAGACCTTCCCCCTGCGCGAACTCGCGACCGTCGCCCCGCTCGGCGGACGGCGGTGGTCGATCCTCGCCTTTGAGGAAGGGTCCGTGAAGGCCATCGTCAGCGCGGTGCAGCGGTCGGACGAGTTTAACCAGCAGCCGCAGCGCAGCGCCGAGAACCCGCTGGAGCTGACCATGACGGTGGAGCCCGAGCGCGCCGACGCACTGGCCCGCCGCGCCAAGGAGGTGTGCCAGGCGTGGCGGGTGCGCGTGCGCGACGAGGCCCATCGCCGGGCCGAGCTGCATAAGAAGTGGCGCGGGGAGGGCGTCGTCCTGAGTGATGATGCCCATAAGCTCAAGGATAAGCTGCAGAAGCTGCAGGATGAGCGGATGAAGGCCATTCTGGCCAAGGAGAAGGAGGCTGTCGGGGCTATCATGGCGCGGGCGAGCTGAGAGAGGGTGGGCGGGCAACCTGCAATTGATAGTCTAAACAGGGGATAAACTCCCGGCGTGCGTGATAGATGGAGAATAGCATGTGTGTTTCTATGCGGATAGATCTCCGTGTACAAATAGACTACCAAAAACATGCGGCCGAGGAGGCGGTATTGTTACATATGGGGACAAAAAGCCCTGGCCCACGGGCTTGCTCCTTTTATTCCCCCCTTTCCTCCATCATCAAGGTTTCGCCTGAGAAGCGGGCTTACCACCCTGCTGCGCCGGTAACAGCGACAGCACCTTGTCCATGAACTTCTGCGAGTCCGCCCCCATGTAGGTGAACGTCCGCGAGTGGTAATTGGCCATGGTGCCCGCGGTGTCACCGACCTCGGCAAAGCCAGCGGCCTCGTACTTGCCGAGAACCGCCGGCTCGATAATCGCCTTCTTGGTGCCGGCGTCGGGCCCGACCAGCTTGAGACGGGGCTGGGCGCTCTCAATCCACGCCTTCTCCCCCTTGCTGTGCACAAAGATGGGCTTCTTGGCCCGGTACCGCTTCATGACCTCCTTGACATCGGCGGTCACGCCCGACTCCGAGTTGAACGCCATACCGCCCGTCATGAGCCGCATCGTCCGCAGCACCGTCTCGACCTGGCCGACCGACGCGTCCGTCGCCACCGCCGCGCCGTACCCGGTCAGCGAGTTCATGGTCAGCTGCGGGTCGAACGGCACCACCTCGCCCTTCTCCAGCCGGTCGATCACGGCCTGCTCCTCGGGCTGCCAAATCAGCTTGCCCCCCTTAGCAGCACCCGCCTTGTCTCCCCTGCCCCTCTCCCACCATCACGGCGGCCCCTCCCACCACCACCACCACCACGACCCTTCCTCCGGTTCCCCCCACCCATTCTCCCCCCCGCACCACCACCACCACCAAACCTCCCCGACCCAGCCCTAAACCCCCCACTACGCGGACCACCCTCACCCCCCGCACCAGCCCCAGCACCAAACCCCACCCGCGACCGCCCAAACGCACTCGGGCCACTCGCCCCAGGCGCAAACCTACCCCCGATACCACCCCCGCGACCAAACGGCGTACGCCCACGGATGCCGCCCCGCAGACTGCGCACGTTCAGCACGCGCGGCCCCGACCCCGACGACGACGACGGGCCGCCGTCGGGCGACACGCGCAGCGAGCGGGCGTCTACGCCGCGGCGGCCGGCGCCGTTGCCGCCGTTAGTGTTGTTGCGGAAGGGGGGTGGGGAGGAGGGGATGCCGGGGATGGAGCTGAGGACTTGGCGGCCGCCGTTGCTGTTGCTGTTGTTGTTGCTGCCGCTGCTGTTGTTGAGTTGGCTGAGGCGGGAGACGGCGGCGGTTTGGCGGGGTTTGATGGTGGGGTTGCTACTGCTGCTGGAGTTGTTGTTGTTGTTGTTGTTGTCGTTGTCGGCGGGCCGGGGGCCGGTGGTCGAGAAGAAGGAGGCGAAGGTGGTTGGGGTGGTGGCGCTGACGGGGAGGGAGAGGGCGCGGGCGGTGGTGGAGGGCGTGGTGCGCCCGAGGGCGGTTCGGAAGGCTTGTCGGTTCATGGTCGGTTGGGTTTTGCTGCCTGCCCTTTTGGGTGTGTTTGTGTGCGTTGGTTGTGAAGACGGTGTTCGTGTAAAATTCCCCTCGAGGGAGCACTGCGCGAGGGGTCGTTGTCAGCCCGTCCGTCCGTCTGTCCGTCGCGAGGTCGGGTGACGACTTGCGGGTTTGGACTTTGAAATCGAACTCGAAAATGGTTGTGGTTCGGAAGTCGAAAATGTTAGCGCTGTTGTGGTTGGTCAATGGGTGTTGTAAGTGGGGCCGGAACCGACCCTGGTTTCTTTGGGAGCACCTCCGCCGACTGCCTTGACTTTAGCTGGCTACTCTTTCCTTCCTCGACGACATGTTTCGAAATAAGTAAAATAGCAGCTATCCAACTTCCATACTTGCATGCCTAACTTGTGGCCTGTGGGTATGAGAAGAAACAGGACCGGGTCCCGAGGGACAACCATTCACCACTCCCCCCCGAATCTCCTCAAGTTTTGCGATCCTCGCACATCGTAATTCGGGCGATTTATTTTATGATATTTTATTTCTTTTATTTTCAAGAACCAAATGTAGTCAGTACCTCAGCCATGGTTCCTTCGGATCTCCAAGGTAAATATAGACCTCAGTGAGGTGGCGGTATACTTCGGGAGATCAGTCGTTCCTACAAGTCTTGCCTCTACTTGCTAAACGAGGCAAGACTTGTAGGGCTTCGAGTTGTTTAAGGACAGTCAACCTCCGACGCTCCCAGTTCGTTTAAGTATCTCGCAAGCTACTTGATATTCACATCTCTGTCAATCAACCTTGAAATCAAGCCGTGGATGGGAACCTGGAATGCCTCACGTGAGAGCCACGTCCAGTCCGATAAGGGTGGATCTTGAAGAGCCGGCTGCAGTTCAGGGAGCCCGGGCATAGACCGGTAACTACCTAGGTAGTCCTGAGAGTAGTTCGCCATGAGACTCGATATCTGTTACTTGTCATTTTCATCTAGAGGCTATCTTGTGGCCAAATAGCAACATACTTCGCCCTCTGCTAAAGCAAATCCCATCTAGTTAGCGTCCGGAAATACCAGTCATCTGAAAACTTTTCGACTTGACCACCGGCACTGGTTTACCCATGATCAGCCTTCACTTAGCTACGTTTGGAAAAGAGGCATGTTTGGTGCCCGCTTGTACCCCACCAACAGTAGATACGTGGCAGGCCACAGGCGCACCTGTAGCCTTTGACACTGCCGTTGGGAGGCGAGAGGATGCTCGCCCAAAAAGCTGGTATGTCCTTTTTCTGGCATATCGAATGACAGCAGCATAGGATAGGGCTGGGCGGGAACTCCTGGGTTGTCTTGGTCATACATCCGTCATCTAAGCTTGTGAAGGAACAGCGCTGCCACTCGTCGACCCCACCTCGTCCTTAAGTCATATTCCCTATCCCGTCCCTTTTGTTCTACCCCGTAAATAGTACGTTTATGTGTAACGAGCTTCATCTAGCTAAATAACCTGGTTTCTCGATGTCCGATCAGATTAGATCAACTCGTCAAGGCGGGATCTCGGAAGGGATTTGACAAGCAGATGTTAATAGCATGCCGTTTCGCTGATCACTCGATGCCCTACCGGGGACGTGAGCCGCCACGTCGCAACTGACTATCCGAGATATTGCATGTCATGCAAGTAAGGAGTGCGCCTGCACGTCTCCCCCGGTGGCAAGGTTGCAGAGCCTAAATTGGCGAAGGTCCTCTCGATGCAGGCAATCAAGCTGGGGGGTGTAAGCGAATGGCCGGTATCCCAAGCGTCGGCACTTGAGTTCGTTGGCTAGGAGTGGCTGAGTTGGGAATGAAGGAGGGTGCCCCCGGCACGCCTTTCCGATACTCGAGATGATGGTGTGGGTAAAAACACTCTGGACTTCCGGCCGTGGCGATCGGTTGCTCGAGAGCAGGTGGAAGATGGAGAAGTAAACGATGGCGCCCTGTAGCTAAAAGAAAGCCGGACTTCAAGTAGTTTAGCACTCGAGTAAAAGGAGATTGGGTTGAGTAGAATGACAATTGGAAAAATAAAAGTTAAAGGAATAAAACAAATAGAGAAAGGAATATTAATGGAATGAAACTAAATCTATGCGAGAGCGAGAGAACATAAGTCGACCAAGGTTCAATCGAGCAGAACTAGCTATACTCCTTACAGCCAAGGCTTTTTCCAGCACTTCTTTTAAGCTTTCTTTCTAGATAAGTTTCATTTCGTTCTTACAGCGGAGGATTGGTTGACGTTTTGAGTTTGGCCTTTTCGTTCAACTTTCCCGTGTAACTCACTACTAACAACCCGCTAATCAGCAAGGCATGCCTTTGTCGTCTGCGATGCAATCACGCCGGGGCTGAAAGCTAGCCTGGTTTGACTAGAAACCATGTTGCTTCGGAGAGCCAGTTTGCAGTCTGTCCCGGGTAAACATCCAACGGGTGGCTCGGTGGCCGGCCCGTTGAGACCCGGAGGGGGTTGTCCTCGCAGCGGCCCGGGATGCTTCAGCCTCGGATGTTAGGGACGTTAAGCAGGTTTAAGGAAGCGTATCCTAAGCGGCGGCTCGTTAAGCGCGGAGACGCGAGAGTCGACGAAGCCCTGGCGATGTCTGACAAGACCCCCACCTTCTAACTAGGGCGGGAAGGCGTCCCGTCAATGTGGAACAGTCAGTTTGTTAAAAATGAAAAAAATAAAAATAAAAAAACGGTGCAGGAAGAAGACAGCAGTTCATGGATCGACGGAGGGTGGAGAGTAGACGCCGTCACGGCTCCAGGCCGGGCTCGCCTACGAGATCGGCCTTGCCTTAGGGCGGGAGGTGTCGCTCCATTGGGTGTGTCGCCGGGTCCATGTGACTGGGGAAGGGAGTGTTTGGCTGGGTGAGGCTCTCTTCAATGTTGCATCATCCAGCATTGCTGCTGCGGGTTGGGGGCAGAGTGGGAAGGAAGGGCACCACCCTTGGAGATAGGCGGGATGCAGGGCGTTCCCGGGATGCAACTGTATCAAGCCTGAAGCAGTAACTACACGCACGGTACAGAGTCTATCCACGACAGAAACGGGAAGGGTACATAAGCTACATGTACCTAGGCAGCGTGTTGAATTCTGCATGAGTTTGCATGAACCCGCAACGAGCTCGTGGTCTGATCACCCGAGGTATTTGGTGAAAAAAGGAAAATACTCCGTCGCCCTGTCTAATTCGAGTTTGGCTGGGGGTCGTAAGTGTCGACGGTGTGTTATGTGCCCAAGGTCGAACCTTTCTAATTCAGTGGTAATCTTATCTAACGAGATTTGGCAACAAGAAAAACCCAGGTTGTAATAGCGCGAGTTACAATTGCTTCCAAACCCCAATGGTGCCTTGGACACAATTACCGAGTCCATTGTGGAAGGAAGGTGAAGTTGAAGGCAGAAGCGACACGGAAGCACGTGAATCGGAAGGAAAGCAAGCCACAGCCGAAACGTGGTTGTGTGGGGCCATCCATCCATGCGTTTCTTCCCGAGTGCCTGCATTTGGCAAGCTCCCCACAATTTCCCAATTTTCGGACATGTTTCGACAAGATGGCACCCGCGAAAACGCACAGATGGGGGAGCTCGCGCCAGATATTTCTCCGATTTGCTCGACATGGGAGGAAGGGTGCCATTGACGAAGTTCCCGGCGCCGAACACTACCTACCTCGTACCGTTAAGTTATCTGTACGAAATACCCGCGCTGGATTGTCGGGAGAGTCTGCAGCCCCGATTTCCCGACCAGGACCACGGGTTCGGTGTTGCGTGCCGTTAGTTTCTTGTGAGTCTCGCTTCTCTGATGAGTTGGCGTGTTGTTGGTTCTTCGACGGATCTCCATAACAATGCGGCTTCTCCGCGCTGCCGCAATACCCGCCGCACCGGGATTCGCGCTTAGAAGAGCTGAGATGGAGACTCCAAGCCCTGATGTCGGCCCTACCCAAGCCTTTCCCGGGATCCTCCTGAATTGGGTTGCATTGGCTCGCCTTTGAACGCAGCGGGATGGGGCATTGCAGCTCGGAACACACCAGCTCACGACTCAGCCGTTCGCTTTCCCGGTCGAGCTCGTTGCCCGCCTTGTCAGTCGCATGGTTTGGGCTGTGTGAGCCCCGCCAGAGGGGACAGCGCAGGACCGACGATCAACGGTACGGTATGGATATACAACGGACTTTGTCCACGGCACCTGACACACTATTGCTATGCATGGCGCAAAGATGCGTGCGGCCGATGCATATCACCTGTCGTCTCTCGCCCACACGCCCATATCAGACCGCCAATATATGAAAGCGCGGCAAGGTCGTCGCGAATCATACCCAGTGGGAGGGATGTTCAAAGGTACGTACTCTCGTCGGGCAACCAATCCGCATTGCCGGCGGCGCCTTGTCTAGGAAGCCGGCCCGCCGTCCCGGCCCAGGAAATGGTCGCGCCGAATCTGTTCAGGGCTCCCCACGAATACCCATTTTTTGCAAAACCTCGATTCATGATTCGGCCTTTGCCATGTTTCGCCATCTCTCGGCTCTGAGGCTCAACACCAGAGCCATTCTGCCGACTCTCCTCCCGTGCTGATCAGCAGTCCAGAGTGGATTCCAGCGTTTCGCTAACCGTGGCCGAAATGCTCAACCGTTGAGGCGATGAGGAGCGAACTATGAGAGGGGGTCCGCCGCTGCCGGTGGATGTGCAACGAATCCCGAACTGGAGAAAAGTCGGTTTTGAGGATGGCCGCGACCTGGAAAGAAGTACAGGTTCCTCGTCCCGCCGAAGAAGACGCCTGCGAGTACGAAGTACATGAAACGACAACGGCAATGAGAAGGCCCAGCGATCGGCTGGCCAGACAGTTTATGAAGGATTCAGACTCCCGCTGAAGGCCCTGTCCTGTGCCAAGCTCGTCGTCACACCTTGCCGACAGGGGTCAAGGGACAAGGCTAGATATGTTTTTGGTTAGCCGCCGTGCTGAGAGACCAGTCCTGACGGAGGCACCGTTTCTGGACAGGGAACATCGTCATCGCCGCGTTCCGGTTTGACTGATCTGCAGAGCCCAGAAACCCGTTCGACCAAAGACTCGCTGTGTGCCGCTGCACCTTGCCGTTGCTGCCCAAGGGCCCTCACTTGCTTCGGTTTCCTCACGAAGCTCGGTCGGTCTGATATCTTTCCGTCTTTCGTCCTCGCCGTGGTAGGGATCGTTGAGAAGAAACCTTTTTCTTGTGAGGGGCAATGGCCGACTTGGCCACGAAAGATGCGCTATCAGAATGGATTCCCCAGAAACTGACACCTTGCTTGGCATCAGGGTCCGGGAAGATACCCCAGCTTGTCTGTCGGCCGAACCCACGTTCGTTCCCACCTTGCCACCCCACCCGACTTGACGCTCACAGGAAGGCCCTTGCTCGGGTGCCGGAGCTTGCGTTTATGCAATAATCGTGTGGACTATCCGTACCTGGCCCCGGCTGGCTGCCAAACAATACTACCGCTCACACGGTCCGTTCCTACCGATGTGGCTATTTCCACCCGAGGGCAATAATCAAAAGGAAATCCGTCAAGTGATGCGACGGTAACGATCACTCGCAGGGAGAACTGATGCCAGATCCCTTTCCAGTCCCACCCTCCCATGGTGCGGCAACTTTCGGCATCCCCTGTCTAGGCTGCTCCATAGCGCCAGATGCTGTGGCTTGGTGAGGGGACTTGGATGACAGGTACCCTTTGTATGCTCCGTCTCCCACCAGTTTCATCGTTTGTTTGTCCCCCCTCATCCCACGGAGCCCGCGTTCGCATCCCTCCAGTACCTGGCTCCGTTCATCCCGGGGGATCCTTCGTGGGGCCGTTTCCATATTCCACGGTTAATGTTCGGGAAGCTTTTCCTAGCTGCCATTGACTTATAAACCATCCCTCGTCTGCTTATCTCCTGGCGTTTAGTCCTGAAGTGAGGCGTACCAGAACAGCTGTGCTGTGTGTTCCCCTTTCCCACGCCACATTCATTCGCCGGAGCCTGCTCAGAATCGACAGAGGAGTTCATCTGTTCTCCGTCCATTACGATTTCGTAAAGAAACCGGAGTAGAAGTCACAATGGCAGCACTCGCCCCAACTGACAGGGTCGATCTTGGGCAAGATATCGACCTCAATGCGTCGCCGGCCGGCAGCATTGACACCAACACCACCGTCAACACCACCCCGGATACCGAGTTTTCGCCGCCGGAAAGCCCTATCCAGCGGAGCGGCCCGCCGAAAAATGCGAGAACGCTAGCGAAAACCAAGCTGGCCTCCTTGGCCCTGGAGGAAAAGGTTTGCAGTACTGAAACCCCATTTTGAAACGATGGTGGTTTAACGTCGAGCAGGTGTCCCTATTGGCCGCCGCAGACTTCTGGAGAACGAAGGCGATTCCGTCCAAGAACATCCCGGCAGTTAAGACAAGCGACGGGCCGAACGGTGCTCGTGGCGGCATCTTCGTCGGGGGCACGAAGGTGAGCTTCTGGCGTAATGTTCCCATCGGCTGAATACGGTGCTGACCGTTAGATCTAGGCGGCGCTTTTCCCTTGTGGTATTTCGTTGGCGGCAACATGGAACAAGGACATCCTTTACCAAGTTGGCCAGCACCTTGCGGATGAGGTTAGAGCTCGGTCGGCCGATGTTCTCCTTGCCCCCACGGTTTGCTTGCACAGACACCCGCTGGGCGGGCGGAACTTTGAGTCTTTCTCCGAAGACCCTCTCCTCTGCGGCAAGCTGTCTGCCCAGTACATCAAGGGTCTCCAAGAGAAGGGCATTGCTGCCACCATCAAGCGTTAGTTTCAGCCCTTGACGGAATCTGGAGAGATTTGTGCTGACCATCAACATAGACTTTGTCGGTAATGAGCAGGAGACGCACCGATTGACAATCAACTCGATCATTGCCGAAAGGCCGCTTCGTGAACTGTACCTCCGCCCATTCGAGATCGCCATCCGCGAAGCCAAGCCATGGGCGGTCATGTCTTCGTACAACCTCGTGAACGGCCTTCACGCTGATATGAACACGCACGTTCTTCGGGATATTCTCCGTGGCGAGTGGGGATTCGACGGGTAAGTGCCACGCTTGGCCAAGCTTAGTGATAAGCGAGGAGGATCAACTGACATGCCCCCACCAGAACCGTCATGTCGGATTGGGGTGGCGTAAACTCAACCGTCGAATCGATCAAGGCCGGATGCGACGTTGAGTTCCCCTACTCTGACAAGTGGCGCTTCGAAAAGGTCATAGACGCCCTCAAGGAGGGAAGAATCGAGGAGGCTGATATCGATCGCGCAGCCGAGAACGTCCTCACGCTGGTCGAGCGGACCAAGGGCAGCGATCTGACCCCGGAAGCCGCCGAGAGGGAGGACAACCGGGAAGAGACGAGGAAGCTCATCCACGAACTCGGTGTGCAGGGCCTCACGCTCCTGAAGAATGAGGGATCCATCCTGCCCATCAACCCCACAACCGCCAAGGTTGCCGTCATCGGACCCAATGCTAACAGGGCCATCGCTGGCGGCGGTGGCAGCGCCAGTCTTAACCCCTACTACAACACCCTTCCCCTAGACAGCATCCGCAAGGTGGCCCAGCAGCCGGTTACCTTCAGCCAGGGATGCCATATCCACAAGTGGCTCCCGGTTGCCTCTCCTTACTGCTCTGACAAGACGGGGAAGCAGGGTGTCTCGATTGAGTGGTTCAAGGGCGACAAGTTCGAGGGGCAGCCGACCATCGTCCAACGGCGGACCAACACGGACCTCTTCCTCTGGGACTCGGCGCCCCTTTCCGAGATTGGGCCGCACTGGTCGGCCATCGTGACCAGCTACCTGACGCCGCCGAGCACCGGCAAGCACACCATTTCGTTCATGTCTGTCGGCCCCGGCAAGCTGTACATCAACGGCAAGCTCGCGCTAGATCTCTGGAACTGGACCGAGGAAGGCGAGGCCATGTTCGACGGTTCCATCGACTACCTGGTCGACGTCGAGATGCAGGCCGGCAGGCCCGTGGAGCTCCGCGTCGAGATCACTAATGAGCTGCGCCCTCTGGCGAAACAGAAGCAGTTCAACATGACGCACAAGTACGGTGGCTGCCGTATCGGTTTCAAGGCGGAGGACCAGGTCGACTATCTCCAAGAGGCCGTCGATGCCGCCAAGGCGGCCGACGTGGCCGTGGTGGTGGTGGGGCTGGACGCCGAGTGGGAGTCGGAAGGCTACGACCGCAAGAACATGGATCTCCCGTCCGACGGCAGCCAGGATCGCCTTGTGGAGGCCGTCCTCAAGGCAAACCCCAACACTGTCGTCGTCAACCAGTCCGGCTCGCCCGTGACCATGCCGTGGGCGGACCGCGTCCCGGCCATCATCCAGGCGTGGTACCAGGGCCAGGAGGCCGGAAACGCCCTCGCCGACGTGCTCTTCGGCCTTAAGAACCCCAGCGGCAAGCTTCCGGTGAGCCCCCCCTCTCCACCAATCTCCAACCCAGTACGCCTGTCATGAAATGCTAACATAAACCTCCCAGTGCACCTTCCCGCGCCGCCTCGAAGACACCCCCGCGTACAACAACTGGCCCGGCGAGAACCTGGACGTCATCTACGGCGAGGGCATGTACATGGGGTACCGGCACTACGACCGGATCGGGCTGGCACCGCTGTTCCCCTTCGGGCACGGCCTTTCCTACACCTCCTTCGAATACGGACGGCCGTCGCTCAGCTCGCGCGTGCTCACCGAGGACGGCACGATCGACCTGGTGGTGGGTGTCAGCAACGTCGGCGCCGTCCGCGGGCTCGAGACGGTTCAGGTGTACGTGCGCGACGAGAAGAGCCGCCTGCCCCGCCCCGAGAAGGAGCTGGCTGCGTTCGAGAAGGTCGAGCTCGAGGCGGGCGAGACCAAGCATCTGCGTATTCCCATCGATAAGTATGCGGTCGGGTACTTCGATACCTCCATTGGGCGCTGGATTGCCGAGGAGGGTACCTTTAGGGTCCTGGTTGCGGCTTCGGCGGCGGATGTCAAGTATGTTGCCCCCCTGCTTCTTCTCTATTTGACATCGTTTTTTATGATGCGTGGTAAAGGGCTTAGGCTAACCTGGGTTATCGTTATAGGTACGATGTTTCGTTCGAGGTCAAGGAATCCTTCACCTGGTTGTTCTAAGGGTTGGTTGGCTGGTCGGTTCCATGAGATGGTTGCATCTTCCGTGTATATTCCTTGCCGCGGCTACCTACCTGCCTCTTGCACAAATTCCCATGAGAACTTCTCATTTGAAATTCGTGCTCCCTGTTCCTGCCGTCGAGCCATTGGCCCTTGAGAGAGTAGTTCCGCAGGGGAAGCGTGGGCTCACGATCCCGCTAGCTTAACACCGAAAAGGGTGCGGGTTCAATTCCACGAAGTCGAGTCCTCGAGTATTTTCGTAGCCGGCTGGCTGCCTTTCCTCCCAATATCGGGAACTTAGTCGACAAGCTTTGTTCTTCTTCTTTTGTTCAATCCCCTCGTCCCCCTCGTTCTGGTTTTGTTTATCATGGCCGACAATATTGCGATGGTTGCACATCAGATCCCTGGGATCTTGTTGTAGCGAAGCTCCGAACAGCTCTCATCGGTTATGTTCTCTATTTCTCCGCATATAAAATATCCTGCCGTTCTAGATTGAATTCAACCATTGAGCGTGGATTGGCTTAGAAGATAGAGTCATGTTTGTACATGTACATATGAAAAAGCTTTCGAACCATAGCTTGAGCTCGACATCAGCCATCTCGGCACCGCACGGCATCTCGATGGAACCCCCGGGTCCCGGAAGCCGCCCCGAGTTCCAAAAATGGGGGCGGAGCTTAGGGTTGTGGACGCGTGCGGGGACGAAGAGGAGACAGAAAAGTTGGAGAAATTCATCAATGCACTACCTAATCTCGAGGAAGGTACTTCGTAGTGTACAACGGGCTATGGAAACGAAACACCATCGTAATATTGCGTAGTAGAGAAAATCGAGATTGCTATCCCTTTTAGGGAATGTCGTATCTTTTACCTCTCAAAAGAAGGAGAAGGGAAAGGAGCCTGTCGTCCCAGCTGATCGGCCAGCTAGCTGATGAGGCGGCGGGTTAGTTACAGGGGTGACACGACGATCTCAGCTGGCCCCGCAGCGCCTGGACCACAAGGTGCCCCTGGTCAGCGGCCACTTTCTCGGCTCACCCACTGACGGCGGACGATTCACGACGGACACCAATTCGACTTTTTGACCGAGTCCAGGAACCCCTATTCTCGACACCATCCATTACCGACCCGCCAAAACGCTCGTTAATAGCCCATTGGATAACCGGCGGTGTTGAAAAACACACCCCAGGCGCGACTACGGCAACTCCCATTTCAACGCTGACGTCCGCCGATCACCGGGACCCTCGAGATATCCTAGACATCAACGAAGCCCGTTACCTAGAGCGCCGGGGAATGGCTGCACCGAGCCCTCCACCATGGCTCGGCCGTATAGCAGCAACAAGAGCAGCTTCTCCTACCCCCCGAGGTACTACCCGGATCACTCAACATCCTTATTAGAGGACTTCCGCGCCCTCGTCGTCCGGGTCTTTCATGCGCTGGCCCGGTTTTGGCGCGAGCGTGGCCGCCGCATAGCTTATGGGACATTTCTATCGTCGGTCTACCGTTTGCGCCTGAACCTGGCCTACGATCGCCTGGTCTCCTTTCCGCACCTACTCGTAGCTCTATGGGTAGTGGTGCTACTATGGGGGGAGCGATGGGCGTTCCACTCCAAGGTTGAGAGCTGCCACTGGAGCAACTGGGAGCACTGGGTATGTCAGAGAAACCCACCCACGGATGTTTGAGAATGTACGGCTTGGAACGAATGCTAACGTGCCTATTTACTTGCCGCATAGCCCGAGGGCGCAGAACCCCACCGCGTCGCGCTCGTCGCCGATCCCCAGCTCATCGACCCTCACTCGTATCCAGGCCGCCCGTGGCCGCTGAATCCGTTAACGATGCTCGTCACCGACAACTACCTACGGCGGTCTTATAACCAGCTGCAGTCGCAGCTCGACCCTGACAGCGTGTTCTTTCTCGGCGACCTGTTTGACGGTGGAAGGGAGTGGAAGACGGCCCATGGGGAGTTCAAGGATCCAGAATGGGGCCCGCATCCTAAGGGGGAGCAGAAGTATCTGAAAAAGTGGCACAAGACATACGGCGAGTTCTACTGGCTGCAGGAGTACGCCAGGTTTGGCGACATCTTTTTCGATCCCTGGGTGAAATCGGGGCGGGGGAAGGGTGCTGAACAGAAAAGGAGAAAGATGGTCGCAAGTCTGCCCGGGAACCACGACCTTGGCTTTGGCGACCAGATCAAGCTTCCCGTGAGGAACAGGTTTGAAACATACTTTGGCGAGGGGAACCGGATCGACGTGGTTGGGAACCATCCATTTGTGTCGGTCGACACGGTTTCGTTGAGCGCTAGACTCATCGGACGAAGCTAAGCGACACGATTTGAGGGAGATCTGAAGAACCGGTTCAGAACTTCCTAGGCGGCCTCAAAAAAGAAAAGCAGAAGGCAGTTAGCAGAGAGCTGCGTTTGCTCCGGGGAGAAGTCACGGAAAGCCAATTCAAGCACGGCATCGAGGAGCTCGACAAAGTCAAATCCGACGACAAGCCGACCGCCGACATCAGCGCGCCAGAATTGCCGACCATCCTCCTCACCCACGTACCCCTCCACCGCCCGCCCGGCACACCCTGTGGGCCGCTACGCGAGAAATATCCCCCAGCGAAACGGCCCAACGGCCAAACCACACCCGTCGTTCCCGACCACCGCAACGCCATCTCCGTCTCGGCAGGCTACCAGTACCAAAACGTTCTTAACGAGAAGGACTCGGAGAACCTCATCGAAAAAATCGGCAATGTCGTCCACGCCTTCTCGGGCGACGACCACGACTACTGTTTCGTCACGCACTCGGACGCGCAGGCCAACGTGCCCGAGATCACGGTCAAGAGCATCAGCATGGCCATGGGCGTCTCCAGACCGGGCTTCCTCCTGGTCAGCCTCTACAACCCGCTCGACCTCGCCACAGGCAAACCCCTCACCAGCCTACCCTCCCAACCCACCCTCCAAACCCACCTCTGCCTCCTCCCCAGCCAGCTCTCCACCTACCTCCGCTACGTGACCCTCGCCCTGGTCTGCATCGCCATCCTGGCCGTGCGCGCCGTGCTCGTCCCCCTCCTGGGGCTGCGGCCCTTCGCCCTCGACCCTGCTGCCGCTTCAGGGGGTAGGACGGCGGTGGCGGTCGGCGGCCGGCGCGGCCGCAGCGCCCTGCTGCCCGTCTTCAAGGCCAAGGTTGAGGATTATGATGAGTATGCGCTGCCGCGGGCGTTCTCGGCGTCGCATTTTTTGAATGGGAACGGGAACGTCAATGCGGCGCACGATCGCTCGGGCAGTGGCTCCGTGCCTGGATCGGGCTCTGGGTCGGGGATGGGCCATGGGAGGCGCAAGAGCCATGGGAAGGGCTCGTCGTCGGCGGCGGCGGCGGCGGGGGGGAAGTGGGGGTGGGCGGGGGCGGGTAGTGGTAGTGGGGGAAGGGCTCGTGCCTCGCTGAGAATAGAGATCCCTAGTGAGGGCGAGGAGGAGGATGGGTATTGTTGTGTTGGCGTGCGCTATAATGGGGGGGAAGTGGAAAGCGAGGCTAAAGGGGGGAAGGGAGGGCCTGCAGTCGAGGTCTGTGGTTGGGGTGGTGTTGAGGGAGTTTTGGACGACGGTTTGGAGGGTTGTGTGGATGGTGGTGGGGTTCTTTGGGTGGTTGGCTTGGAAGGGGTAGGAAAAGGCTATAGAGATGGATGGGTGTATGATATGGAGTACCTAGAGGAGGAAGTATGAATATTGAGTAATGGTGCCTACCTACACAGTAGACGGGGTTTGCATGCATACAGGGTTTTGGCGTTGCTCTACTTTTGTCCCTTGTCTCATTCCCACTCCAGTTTGACTGTGGCAATCGGATTGTGCCGGTTCCGAGAAGCAATCTTTGCGGTCCCCGTGACCGTGATCCCGGACACCGACATGATGATGGGCACACGCGCAGTCGGGAAGGCGACCCGCCCAGTGGCCCGTCCACCGCGTTAAGTGGTTGCAGGATGATAGACCAATGACGTCGCGTAGGGCTGGGATCTCACGCGCCTTGCAGGAGGGATCCGCCGATGGCGCTTCACAGTCCCCGTTCAATTCTTGAACAATTAATGGACTTGAGAGAAGAAGAACGGAGCCATTGAAGAAGTCGGGATGGTCAAAAACACATAGAGAGATAATGTCGCTATGCTAGAGCAGTGTCTACCGATAACTCATTACCATCTTGACTTGTCTTCGAGCAGGGAGAATTCCTGTGGCAGGGCTGAATTCCTTGGACTTCCTTCATACCCCTGCTGTTCCTACATTGCGAGTTAATGAGCGACGCCAAAAACCGCGTCAGAAACGCGCTTTGCTCGAAGCAGCTAAGAACCGTTCCCCGGTCAGCCAACCATCCAGGGCTCCCAGGTTGGTTACAGCTTGCAAGGTTCCAAGGTCTGAGCTGCGTCTCCAGCTGCCAGCTTTTTGTTTGCCAGCTTTTCGTACTCCTTTCCGCTCTCCCTCCCGCTCAATTGCTTTGAAGAATCACTTCTCATCCCTTTTCAACTTCCATCATCTCGGAATCGGCAGATTTCGGTCTTTATCAACGAAATCACACCGGCCAATTTTTTTAAGAACACCCGTTTGTCGTCAAAATTGACCTCGTCAAGTTTTTATCGACACCATCCGCCATCCGCCTCCATTCCTCTCCACCCTACCATCAACTTCTATCTAGCCGTCTAAATCGACTAGCTCTTTCTTCTTCGGCTCCACTCAACTTCCGCTTCTTCTCCCGCCCTCTAGCCCACAGCATGTCCACTCTCAAGCGGAAGGCCGGCGCCGAGGCCGGTGCGGAGGCGAAGAAGGCCAAGCAGGGCAGCATCATGTCCTTCTTCGGCGGCCCCAAGCCATCATCCACATCCGCCACCGGTGCGGCAGCACCCGAGCCTACGCCTGCCAAATTCGACAAGGCAAAATGGGCAGCCTCCATCACTCCCGAACAGCGAGGGCTGCTCAAGCTTGAGATTGACACCCTGCATGAGAGCTGGTTTGCCCTGCTCAAGGAGGAACTCCTCACCAAGGAGTTCCTCGAGCTCAAGAAGTTCCTCAAACGCGAGGCGGCCGCCGGGAAGACGGTGTTCCCCCCGCAAGAGGACATCTACAGCTGGTATGTCCATACCCTCCCTTCACCACCCATCAACCACCAACCAGACCACTAACCCTCCCCCCTCTCATCACAGGTCGCGCCACACCCCCTTCTCCACCGTCAAAGTCGTCATCCTCGGCCAAGACCCGTACCACAACCACAACCAAGCGCACGGCCTCGCCTTCTCCGTGCGCCCCCCCACCCCGGCGCCTCCCTCCCTCAAAAACATGTACATCGCGCTCAAGAACGACTACGCCGCCTTCACGCCGCCGCCCAACAAAGCCGGCCTGCTGACGCCCTGGGCCGAGCGCGGCGTGCTGATGCTCAACACCTGCCTGACGGTGCGCGCCCACGAGGCCAACAGCCACTCCAACCGCGGCTGGGAGCGCTTCACCCAGCGCGTCATCGACCTTGTGGCCGCGCGCCGTGCCAGAGGGGTGGTGTTTATGGCGTGGGGCACGCCCGCGGGCAAGCGCGTGCTGAAAGTCGATCAGAAGAGGCATCTGGTGCTGAAGAGCGTGCATCCGTCGCCGTTGTCGGCCGCGAGGGGGTATTTTACGTGCGGGCATTTCAAGGAGGCGAATGAGTGGTTGGCGGAGAGGTATGGTGTGAGTGGGAGGGTGGATTGGTCGTTGGTGGAGGGCGCGAGTGTGTTTGAGGGGGAGGGGGAGAAGGTGGTGGAGAAGAAGGAGGAGGAGGCGGAGGGAGGGAAGGGGAAGGTCGAGGGGGAGGTGGTGGAGGAGGGTGTGGTGAAGAAGGTTGAGGCGGTGGCTACTACGGCTGCTGCTGCTGCTGCTGCTGCTGGTGTTGGGGGAGATGCCGAGAACAAGGAGAACGGGGAGAAGACAGTGGTAGAGACGAAGGGGGTGGTCAAGGGCGAGGATGGGGACGAGAATGCTGCGCCTGAGGTTGAGGCTTGAGGCTTGGGTTTGCTTGTTTACGGTTTGATCCCCTTTGTCGACACGGAGGGTTATGGATGGACATTTACCTGTTGGCTTACGCATGCCAGTTGATGGAGACTGGGAATGCCTCGATCCAAGGTATGTTTGTGTACTCGAGCGTTGAGCTGAGTCCTGTCTGGCAAAAGGCTCGTGTCAAATGGCCTCAGATACGTCGGTTGGGAATTTTACGGGGGATTATTTACAGCTGGGAAGCAGAAGGAATCGGCAGGGACATGTTTTCTGCCCTCACGTAGGCTAGGCTTAGAGGTTAGGTTAATGAAGGTTGATGTCTTCGTACATCGTCCTTGATTGTGATGTGAGCACAACATGTTGACGTGGTGGTTGCAAGTATAGTCATGAAGACAGCAAGGAGGAGGACCTATGGTTAGATCTACGGTTAGTGTGATGTTCGTGTCTGCGAGTGGTTCTGTTGATGCAGGCTGTTTTGTCATGTGGTCGCTGACTCGCGTCCTCATTCACTAGGCCAAAACCGAACATACAAGTGACGGTAACCCTCTGATCTCTCTACCTGCATTCGTCGGACCCAATGGTTGAGAAAAATGCCCCGGGTGATTCCTTCAACGACCGTGCTTTGAAACAACCTCATCCAATACACTTGGCATATAAGATGAGTGTTTGGTCGTGTCAACTTATAAATACCAATCCGTTGAGGCAAACATGCCTGGGCCCCCCTCATTTGGCGAGTCTTATTAGATGTCTTTGCACGGTCGGTTCCGAAATCCTGGATTTGCAATTCAACGTGACCTCAGCCGTCGTAAGGCTTCAGCAATCCTAAACTCGAAGGAGTAAACCGGACCAGTCGGGCTTGTCTCGGCTTGTACTTGATTCGAGTCATGTGCTGACCTGGACTGGTTCGATTTTTTTTGGTTCATGCAACAGCGGGACTTTGTGCCGAAGCACCGAATGGAGTCGTGTTTTGTGTGTTTCAGCACAGTGGTTGCAGCAGTCACAACTGTGATCCAATTCGTCCTCGGTAACGCATCGAAGATGTCGTCTTGTCGTGGTATCATACTACTACGTACGCAAAGCAAATTCTCTTGAGCTCTCACTAACTAGAGGTCGAGAAAATGAAGAAAAAAAGGCAAAAGGCAGGAGAGGAAAAAGGAAGAAGGGTGCTGGTGCCCAAGTTACAGATTCCGAGAAAGGAAATCTCCCCACCTCAACGCGAACGATGATTGGATGAACAAGAAATCAAGGGTCGGGGCATCAAGCTGGAACACCCCGGTGGGGGGAAGAGGGGCATCCATTATCGTTCTGTTACCAACCAGACAACCCGCATGAGAATGCCTCTGGGCCGAGGACCCGGATGACCGTGACCTAAGCATCACACGGACACAGCAGTGTGTTGTTTTGTCCTTGGGTCAACAGATCCTCAGTTTGAACCGGTGGACCTCATTTGTTTGTCCCGCGTCGATGCTGCAAGTTAAGGTTGGCTCTGTGCTTGGGATGCATGCAGGTCCAGGGCCCACCCACATTGGATGCCCATGCAAGAAAGCCCCGGCACACCTCAGCCAGCGGGACGGATGCGCTCGAGGTGTGGGAGGGAGGTTCCACTCCACCGTGTGTCTCGGTGCAATGCGTTCAAGGCTGGTTGGCTGTCTGGGCCAAGCCGAGCATCGCACTCTTTCAAAACCATCACGAGAGGACAATCCTGGACGCGCTCCGCCAGCTCAGACCCGGGGTTTGGGGGTATTTTCCAGTGCAGTTGGTCAATCCATGACCAATCGCCCCTCTGGTCGGCCTTGTGCTCACTGGCCGTGATGATTTTGTGCACAACGCGGGGTTGATGAGTTGGCACCGACCTGACCACGCAGCAGCATGCGCAGACATGCGCAGACATGCACGCAAGAGCAATCTGCGGCCACTGGTCTGACACAGAACCGAGCAGCTAGCCGTATTCGTACACCACGCGGGGGAATTTGGTGGGCGGATCGAGGAAATGGGAAAACCGGGAGAAGGTTTTGGGACAGGTCCGGAAGTGGCGTTCGCGAAATTGACTGCTGCAGGTTGCTACTCAGTGCAACCTCCAAATGCCGAGTCGCCCCTGGCAGGAGTCCTCCAGGAGATACAAGTTAATGAGGCGCTTCCTGACTTGGATATTGCTGGGTTCTTGAAGGGACGACAAAGGATAACGAGGAACAGGTGGAGCTTTATTGGTAGTGACCTCGAACGGACGAAACGGACAAGAAATCCATGGAGGGGACACAAAAAATGGATCGACTCTGATCTCGGACCCTGTATCTGCACCTTCCCTCCGCTCCGCACTCCACAGGCATCGGGCAAAAATGACCCTCACCAACCCGGTTCCGAAGCCAAAGCACTCATCAGAAGGAAAAGAGGACCGACTCCGGCAGCGGGGGCCATCCCAGTACCTAATCGAATCGAACATGTTTGAGCATCCATCCATCGATTGTCCAAGCATTGTCGCTCTTATGGCCGTTAGGGAATCCATGGTTACCTCTGGTTATCTGAGAAAACTGAAAACTACAATACTTTGGCCAGCGTTACGTAGAGAGTGACCATTCATTTAAATGATAAAGCATTGCGGGTGTTGTGCTCGTTGTGCTCGCCCAATGTGCCGTTCATGTTCCTGAAATGGATGGGCTGCAGCAATTCGTTAGCATGGCGTCGCTGCTCATCATTGCAGAGCCTAATCCTAATTCAGGCTGGCACCCAAGACACCAAGTACCATTCTGCGGTTAGTCCCAGCCAAACAGGACTTGAGCTTCGAATTGGAGGCGGCCCAGCCAACACCCGCCCGGTCAAGGCAATTTCCTGGCGCGACTGGGCTGAGATCGCGAGCCCCCTGAAGACTTTCACAAACCTCTTGCTTCGGAGGAGAGTTTCTTCTTTCATTCTGCTTTCCATCCTCACTTTGCATTCTTCACAGACACACACACACACACTCTCTCTCTCTCTCTAACTATTCTTTTATTATCTGATACCACTGATACCACTCGCTCCTTATCCGACCACCATCACCCCGGCACAACCTCTGTAACGTACCGTCTTGTTCCGGAACGGCACCGAATCGACGCTAATATGAGGTAGGGGACTGCGTGCAACAACCGAGACCCAATCGTTAGGGACCCCAAACTTCAGCTCCCCAGCTCTCTCGCCCGACCAAAATATTTCTTGGATTTTTTTCTCGACATCTCGCAGAACCGCGACGCTTTTCTATCCCGCGCCGGCATTTTGAATCACGGGGGCGCTCAACTCAACTCTTTTTCTGTCCGAGCCCGCATTGCCCACCATTCCCAACCTACTTGCATTCCAGGCTTATTTCCGAGACAGGCTATCGTCAAGCACGATGCCGAGTCTCTTTTCCCGCCTGAAAGGCAAGGACGGCAAATCCAAATCTAAGAAGGGCGCGCTCGACCAACCCGAACAGCCGCTAAAACCACGATGGGACGACGCGTGGGCACGCAAAACAATCGACCCCGAGGAAGTGCAGCAATTGCTCCGATTTTGCACAGAAGAGCTCAAAGCGAGAGGTATGACATCAACTACATATCCGCCCTGCTGCGCCCGCCTTGCGCAGCAAGCGGCTCCCCTGGCGTCCTGTGCCACACAACATGCAAGCTAACGGTACCTTGCAGCTCTCGATCTTCCGTTCCTCCTACTCCCTTTTCGGCCAACATCCGACCCGAGCGCCGTCCGTACTTTTGTGCGACACTTTTTCGACGGTAAAGATGGCGGTCAGTTACTTCGCGGGGAGGCCCTGGCCCGCGAGCTGCGAATGACGGAGCCAATGGTAGGATATTGCGATAACTTTACGCGTGTGGTTGGGGGTCGAGTCGCTAATATCGGTGATAGGTCATTTCGGGCGTGGTTAAGTGGTGCTGGAGCAGACTCCAGGGCGGCGTTGTTGGGTGGGACTCCTACGAGCTTTTCAAGGTCGGAGAGCATGGTATGTTGCGCCTCTGGCATGCAGGAGGTGGGCCACGGCAAAGCTGACAGTGGACGCAGACTCGCATATGGCTAGAGATTCTTTTAAGACTTTTATTCCTCTTAGCGTCGATAACGACTCGCGCGTCAAGATTATCTTCGACTTCTTCGATCTTCTCGCGGCGATCGCGGCCCACAGCAAATCCAACGGGTTCGGAGGACGGAAGCTCTCCCGCATGGCAGCATGGTGGGCGTTCGAACCCAATGATAACGGCAATGGCTTTGAGGGCGGGTACAAGTCGTGGTTGAGGCAAGTCGCTGGTCACCCCTGTTTATGAATTGCCGCGCTTCTGCTAACAATTTGAAAAGTGCTGCCGATGCCACGAGCCACTTATTCTTCGCCTATATGCGTTCCCTCGCGCCCGAGCCGGTTCAGGGCGGCATCTCGCTACTGCCAATGTCGTTGCAGAAGCTCCTGCAAGAAACCGAATACCCGCCGCAGAGACCAGCCCTCATGCAGACGTCGACAAATAGGGTTGCTATGATTGTCGACACCGTGTCGCCTACGCCATTCACCCTGCTCCGGAGAGCCAACCATTTCCAATACCGTGACGAGGACCGGGCACTTCAAGAATGGTCCGAGTATGAGGATCCAATTCAGGCCTTGACGGAGGAGTGCCGCAGAGTTCTTAGGGCGATTGCTGCGGCCAACCAGTCGCAAGCTGTTTCGAGCTCGAAACATTCCACCAGTCTTCGGGACGCCTCCTGGTCTCGGTTCGAGGATATTGGATTTGCGAGCGCGCTTGAGGAGGACGACATGGACGACGATGCGCTCGCGAAGCGGCGAATGCAACAGGGGTTAAGGAATACGCCCGCTTCCGGAAATGGTGACCTAGGGCGGCCAACTACTCCGTCATGGGCCGATTTCCTTTCCTCCGGTTTCGTGGATGAGCGCGGCGCACCGAATATGCTGCTACCCCCCGATAAGGTTCTGCCTCCGATCGACACGGGAACTGCCCGCCAGCGGAGCTCTCAGTCTCACAAGCCGAGATTGGAAACCGACAACCAGTTTGAACCTGGTGAGTTGGCGAGCATCGTCCGGTTTGACCTCGATGACGCTTTCTGGTGGGTGTGGATGAGCAGTCTGGCCCCTGAGGAAACCGCGGAAAGGAAGTCGGCCTTCGGGCGCTGCGCCGTCATTGAGACTCTTATCCGGACTGGCCGCTGGCTTGTTATGGAGGAGATCGTCAAGGGCGCGGCTCCGGATCCTGAGGAAGGCGCTTACATCGCCGAGAAGAAGGGCTTTTTCAGTTGGACCCGTCGCGGAAAGGGCCTTAACAGGAGAAAGTCGACGGGGAAGCACGCGCTGGACAAGGATGGGCAGCTGAAATCAGGCTCTGCCATAGGCCTGAGCAAGACGAGCATTGGCCCCGACCAGCAAGCCAGAATCCAGGCTGCCGCGCTGCAGCTTCAAAGGCAGGAGCAGCAGAAGACGCAACAACAGGTCCAGGAGCGGCGGGGGAGGAAAGATACAGACTATCTCGCCGAGAAGACCAACAGCGTCTTCACCCTTCAACCAAGCATTCTCAGTGGAGGCGTCTCCGGCGGTCAAATGGGCTAGCAAGTATGACAAGGGAAGCGATAAGAGACGCTTACCTTGGCCAACACGAGCGCCGGCCGTGGCGTCAGCACGACTTCGCTCACCAATGGACACGCCACTCCGGCAGGCGAGAATGAACACCGCCCCGGAACTGCCCCCGAGAGACATCTTTCATCGCCCGCTAGGCCGGACCCGATCGTGACCACCGGCTCGTCTTCGGTCCCGCGCCGTAACGAGACGCCAACCCCCCAGACACCGAAGCGGGAAGACAAGGAATTGGAGGTGCCGAAGGAGATCCACCCGGCGGAGCGAGTGCACAGCCCAGTGTCCCCACCGAAGGAGCAGGCCAGCCTGGAGCTGGCACGAGAGCAGATGGTCTCCCCCGAGCCTGCCCTCGGTGACGACAGCCAGAAGCACAAGAAGCTTCACAAGGACGCGGTTAAGCCGGGTGCCGGCGGCGGCTTGAAGAAGCTGTTCAGCCGTAAGAATAGGAGTTCAAAGCTGCCAGAGAACGCTGCAGAGCAGCTCAAGGCGTTCACTGCTGCTACCGAGGCTTCCGCTCCTCCGGCCGTGCCGCAAAAGGCTGCGGAGCGGGCGGCGCCCAAGGAGCAACCTGCTGTTTTGCAGAAGTCTCAACCCGTTCCGGCTCGTGTTCCAGTTCCCGCCCAGTCTCCCGTTTCGCCGGTCTCGCCGGTTTCACCCCCCCCTGCGCCGCAGGCTCCTGTACAAACCGCTCCCGAGGAGCCTGCCCCCATCTCCGACTCACCCCTTCCTCAAGAGGTCTCGCCCGTGAGCCCGGTGGATGTCACCGCTGGAAAGGAGGAGGTCTCCCGCTTCAACCAAGGGCCCCTGCTTGACCAACCCGCGTTCGTGCCTGACGACAATGACGAGGATGATGCCATTCCTCCTCCCATTGCCAGGCACTCCCCTCGCAATCCATCGCCGGTACCACAGCAACCCGAGGAAGAGGAAGCAGCCCCTCCCCCGGCACCAGTGGCTCGCGCCGTCGACCCGCAAGACCGATGGGCGCAGATCCGCAAGAATGCCGCGGAGCGGGCCGCCTACCGCCAGGCCACACAAACCGCGAGGGTCTCGGGGGGGCTTACTGATGTATCAGACAGCAGTGAAGAGTGTAAGCCATCACAACACCCACCCATTGGCGTTAAGCCTTTCAGAAAATGCTAATTGTCTCTAGCGATCGAAACCCGCGTCGCCCGTATCAAGGCCAGAGTTGCCGAACTGGCCAAGGCCGCTGAGGGCGGCCCTAACGCTCGCGTGCCGCCCCCCATCCGTCGTTAGACGCGATGCATCTGCACCAAGTGATGGCGCTGGAGCTCGCCACTACGATTTGAAAAGACACGAGGTTGAAACAAGGTGGAATGCAAGCTTTAATCTTCTCCCGTCATGCCTCTCGGACTAGGCACTTTCGTTTCTCTTTTTACCACGGCCTACGCCATACCAACGCCTTCTTTTTCTCTCAGTGGATTGAAGTCCGCAGTCGACGACCGGCACTCGTAATATACCATTTTCGAATTTAATGCTTCTTCACCACCTGTGGCGAACTCGCTGGGATATCGCAGCTTGGTTGCTATTCAGACAGTCTTTTCCTAATCTTTGGCTTTTCCCCTATGATACCACTAGAAAAGTTTGCAAGTTAGCTGAGCAGTGCAATAACATCTCCCTCCTCTTGATGAACGTGACGGTGTGCTGGTGTTGACAATGTGGATGTCGAGTGCTGCCCCAGTGGCAGCCGCACCATAACAGAACATATCTATTTCGGTACAGTAGCAACATCGATTAGGATTTTGCGAATAGCCATTTGACTAGCTGAGAGGACTCCTACTATCAAGAGAGACCTAAGAACCTGATACGATCCCGAAGTCGTTTCTCTTGGATGTGCAGCTTACAGTACCTAGGTCAACCCCAACTGAAGCTGCCAGCTCGTTGTTTATTCACGCCCCTATATCAACTTACACCGCCGCACCACAGCAATGTATTGTACAAGTCATGCAAGTAATTACTCGCCCGAGCGAGCATCTAAAGCCACCCCCATCTAGCAATGCAGATATTAGAACAACGCTTTGCTCGCCGCCCCACGTGTTCGCCATATGAGTCCAGAGTCGAGAGTCTCCCCAAATCAAACCAAGGCAACCCAGGCCCCTTTCCAAACGCCGGCTAGCTAGCTCGTTGCTGACTCTTTTAAAACAATCAGAAGCCACCACCAAAAAAAAAAAAAAAAGGCAAAACGCCAGACATGCTACCCGAATGTGATGTGGTAAAAAGGACGAAGAAAGTGGAAAACACGCCTTCTAACGCAGTCGCCCCAAGAAGATCAGAGAGACCACACATCTCATCATCTCAACCCCACCCCATCCCAACTCACTCATGCCCCCCCACCGCCGTCGCACCCCCACCCCCTCCCTGCACAAGCCCCCTCCGCTCCGCCAACGCCCGCTCATTCACCCCGCGAAACACGCGCTTGCCCACCTCGTAGCTGCTGATCATGATGGCGCAGGCGGGCGCGACCCGCAACGTGCGCGGCACCCCGCCGCGGAACAGCCCCGGCAGGCCTTCGGTGCGGAAGATGTGCCACAGCAGGCGCGCCATGTTGCGCTCTTCGGGGGCGGCTGCGGAGGCGGTGGCGGATGCGGTGGTGGTGGTTGAGGTGGAGGTGGTGGTGTCCCGGAAGACTTGGGTGCGGGTCTTGCAGACGTCGAAGGGCATGGTGACTACGCTGGCGAAGCCGCCCGACGCG